AGAGGCGAGGGGCCGGTCTAAGCAGGACTGGGCTCCGGATCAAACCTGCTGGCAGACGCAACAACGCTGCTGCTCTGCCACAGTCTCGCTCGCTCCCTTTCTCCTCTCTTCTTCTCCTCTCTCTCGAACAGAGGCACGGGCTATTTTTAGCCCTGCTGCACCCACAGCCACCACCACCCCCACCCACCACCACCCACCTCTGTCCTCTCAATTCATCCCTTCATATCACCCTGACCTCAGCCTTCATGCGAACCCTCCACCTCCACCCGATGTACTCCCCCCACCACCCCCCCTCCGATCCTTCAACTCCTCCCCTCCCGTCCTCAATCCTCATCTCCTTGACGGGGGAAGTTGAGGAGATGTGTCGGGGAGGCGGATTCTGCTTCTACTCCTCTCTTGTCCACGCTCATTACCCCAAAAACACATGCTGCGTCCGGGCCCGTCGGCCCCCCTGCGCTTGGTGTCAGTGTGAGTTTGTGAGTCGAGAGGCGCCGAGAGAACGGAGAGAATACTCACATGTCCGTACGGGTTAAACGGACACGTGTGTGTCTGTGTGTGTGTGTCTGTGAGAGACGGCAGGACGGAGACACAAGCGGTTCAAGGCAAGCCCAAAGAGAGAGTAAGAGTAAGCGTCTCCACGCACAGCTGTGCAGGAGACTCTGTCCTCCCTCATCAGACCGAGACCACAGCTCATCCCGTGAGGTCAAGTCAGTCACCGCGGCGCCCTTGAGAGAGCGCGCCCTCGGCCAGCCTCCTCGTGATAAAGAGGCAGGCCCCCCCGCCACTGCCGCTATACTCGCTGCATGCCACCCCAGCCTCCCCCTCCTCCTCCTCCCCCACCCGGCTGCCTCGGCGGGCGATAAGGACGCCCCAGTTCCGAGGGGAAGAGGGGGAGGCAAACCACCTGGGTTTTAGGGTTCTTAGGGGGTAAATGCTGGGAGCCGGACGGGTGAAAGGTTGAACCTCGGGCTTCGCCTTCGCAAAATACTGTTTCAAAATAGCATACATTTACTTATTATTTATTTTTTGTTTCTCTTCTTTTGTGAGAGCTGCAGCCAGCTGAGGTTGATAAGACTCCCAGCGAGAGTCACATTTTCAGTGTTGTTATTCTCTCTTTGCAAACTGCGCTCCCACGCGGCTGTTTTTTTTTCTTCTATTTTCTTTTTCCTTCAGTTTTCCACAACACGTGAAAATGTTCCTGCAGTGTTTTTAACACGAGTTCGAACATGCGCCATCATCTTATCGACCAAAGCATGGCACAGATGCATTCAGCTATCCGCTCACCTTCCCATGACTGTCATTCCACATCACACTACTTCTCCTGTGTTCTGTGATGCTGATTATATTCTCATGCTGAACGGTGTGATTGAATATAACCGTGACTCTCTCTAGCTCACCACCGCGAGGGGGTCGGGTCTGATATAGGCGCTGCTATATCTCTCATCACCTGTCTTCTCACTTTTCTTTTTCTGCACAGGAGAATTGCCATTTCATACTACGATTCAAAGCGATTCAGTCTATGTGAGTACAGTACGGACTGCTCCCCGTCCCCCACCCTCGCCCCTCCGTCTGCCTCCCCCAAACACCAAAATCCCACCCACTCCCACTTCCCGCCCGTGCCGCCCTTCCCCTGCAACCCCACCCTGTCTCTGCCCTGGCCTCCTCGGTGTTGATGATGCCCCCTCCCCCCCCGAGATGTCTGTGTGTGTTAGTGAGAGGGGACTCTGTGGTGAGTGGGTCTGACAGGGCAGGGGCCGGCCAACGTGCACGTGACAGTGGCTTTAACCGTCCTCGCCCAGTCCTATTTTCAGACCCCCTCCCCCCCTCCCCCCTTCCTCCATGAACTGCGTCGACCTCGTTGGACCTCGGCTCCAGAACGCGAGTCACGCGTTTCAAGCGGCAGGATGACGTTTCCGTCACGTGTGTCGTTCGCCGCTAATATGCGAGAACATGCGAGTCACCGACAGAGCGACCTGCAGGCCGGGTTCCGTCTTCCACAAGAAAAGCCCAGCGAGCCGCCGCCGCTTTGGTCCCATCGCGCCACCACACCGGCTCCACTTCCTCTTTAGGATAGGTCACACCCGGAGCCCGGGAACCGCTGATTGATTCGGTTTAGAGGAGCAATGCAAGAATCCCCCCCACCTCCCCCCCCAGATCACCAGAGCACAAAAGACGGGGACTCAGTGAGATAGAGAGAGGGAGGCGCAGGGGCAATAAATCACGGTGTGATTTTCTCTCCGTGCACGCCACTCCTGTGATTAATGACACAGCGCTTTAGGGCCTGTCAGCACATCTAATTGAAGAACATCAGTCATCATTAGCATTGGCACACTGAGGTCGAGCCAGTGACACACCCCCTGACCCCCGCCCCACCAACCCCACAACCACCCCAGCGACAGATGCGGAGGCGGAGGTCAGTCAGAGGTCATATCTCATCCCCTAACAGTCGCCCACCAGTACTCCCATATCTCAATCTAGAACCCCCCCTTTACGACCCCTTTCAATTAAAGCCTTACCGCTGGAGAGAAATAAATGCACCGTGTACGTTCTATTGCACTGAACTATCCGCGAAACATGAGAATCCATGTTTCAAAAGGTAAGTGAAGGCTTATTGAAGGCTCGTCTCCTCTGTCCTACACACTTGTTCATTTCTCCTCTTGTCACTTTACCCTTGATAGAAATGTATATATATTGTCAATTATGTTCCTTGGTAGTAATTTACTTCAAAGACAACCATAAACACATGCATTATGTCTGATTATTACAAAGTTTACTCCAAATGTATATCTCTGCTGTTTTTAAATTGTTGCATATGGTAAATGTGTGAGCGCGGCTATTCACTGATTATATATCCATTTTTTTTGTAAGCGTTCCTCGTTGGTTTAAAAGGTTGTTTTTCCTCCATCTCACTCGTTCGTGCAGTCTTTCAAATAAACAGCCACGCACACACACGGGGTCTCAAGTGACCTGCTTGAGGTTACCGCTGGTCGGCTGGAGGCGTGAATGAAAGAATCTTCAACCTGTCAACTCTGGCCTCTTCAGCCTTTAATTAAACCTTGAGAACAGGGAGATAAAATTAACAAATTGGGTAATGAATGGAGCAAAACAGGTGGTGGATAGTTGAGGAAAATGAATCAATCAGTCTCCGCTGCATGGATTTATTCAGCTTCTAATTAGACAGTGCCTTGGTTAATTATGATTGCGCTCTTCTGAGGAAAAATAAAAAATAAAATCCCAGCCGACATTGACAGAATTAGTGTCAGACTGAGTGATAAACAAACACCACAACCTCACGGTTAGTGTTGTTGAAAAGACAGCGTTCTTTCATATTACTGCAATTACTCTCAGAGTTGTGGGATTTTGTGACCAGGCAACAGTCACCATTTGTTATATTTATCTCCAGAAAGCTGAATCCCTGTTTAGTTCCGCTTCCGTTCACTAGTGCATAAATAATAGAGCCTTATTAAATTGGAGCAACAGGAAGAGGTTATTTTTAACGTTAACAGTGTTGAAATAACATTTTTAGCAGCCAAAGATCAGCTTCTAAAGGTATAGAGTAAAAAATAAAGGAAAACAGCCTTTGCTCAACAGGATTATTAAAACAAATAAATCCAGGTTATATGATGCAAGGACACTTTCCCCATAAAACTAGAATATCTGCTAACAAAGTTATTGTCTCAAGACATTTATGCTGTCAAGTGATTAACAGGAACTAAAAACCTCTAAACATTTAAACCAAAAATATAGAAAAGTGCAAACGTTCTATTCATTTTCAGCACTTTAGTTTTTGAATAAATGGCGTTGAGGTGATAATATGGTCTCTTGTCATAACAAGGATGGTTCCTTTCGTTGACTTTCAATGTTTAGCACAGTTAAAATGTCCCAACAACAGCTTGTAATTGCATTTTAATAGTCAATTAAAGTTGGCCCATCAATCAATTTTTTACGATGGACATGCAGTTTTGATTTGATTTCTCCCAAAAAACAAAAACAGCTTTTATCATGTCAGATCCAATTAACCCGAGCCGCTTTATTAAGCTGAGAAGGAATCGCCGTCTCACATTTGCTTTTAGATTCTCACAGATTTATATTGAAGTAAAACCGTCTCCTTAACCATCAGAATACACGAGGAGTGATCAGAGATACAAGTTATGTTTTAGTTTAGTACTATTTTCTAAGAATTTTAATGAGCGCTCCAAGGACGCACACTAAAATCTGATCCACAATAAGCCGTTAAACTGAGTTTGAAAGTGGAGATAAATCTGGCTCGCGTCTTTTTTTCACATCCGAAAATCGCTTCCTGGTTTGTGGGACCAGACACAGATTGGACTCCATTGATAACTTATCAAGATATAAAGCCTTAAATGTCAGTTTTCTTTTATCTCCTGGCTTTCTTTGATATCTGACGCTTTCCTAATGCAATATGTGTGTGTCACACTTTCTTATCATTCACAATAGTCACACTGAACGGCCATAAAAGGGCCAAAATATATTAGAAATATGCAGCATTACTGCTGTTCTTTTGTTTAAACAATGACAGGCGAGAGAGAGGATGAGGTCTGTCATAAAACACGCTCATTATTTGAATAGACGGTAGACTAAAGCGTGATCAAGTGGTGTTTGTTGCGAGTTATCGCTGTGGTTCATTTGTATCGCACCTCATGTGACTGTGATCGTCATCTCGCTTACTAATGAGTCTCTCTGTGCTCTGGCACCTGCTGTTGTTCTCTGATGAGAGAAAAACTAAAATGCAAAACCACCAGAATCTGCAGGCGGAATAGTTGCTATTTTTGTGCTTAACATTATTCAAATACTATGTAGCTCAGAAAGGGAGACAAATGATTTCTTTACCAGAGGCAAAGACGAGTCCTGTAAAGCCACAAGATGGGAGGTGACAGAATGCTCTACTAAAGAATTTGCGTGTAGCCACGCGTCTTCACTTTTATGCTCACTCGTGTGTGTGTGTGTGTGTGTGTGTATGCATGCGCGTGTTTCTGCAGACGGAGGACGGAGAGGAGGAGAACCCGCTGGAGAGCGCAACGTCTTTGGAGCTGGAGTTTGTGGACGATCCCAATTTTAAAAACAAGGTCAACTACTCTTCCAGTGCGGTCCAGATTCCTACAGACATATACAAAGGCTGTGAGTATACGCGAGAATACTGTCTGTTATTTGACCGGTTGGCGGGTTTCCTCAAGGCCTCTGCCATATTGACTGTCTGTTTTGACCGTTTCTCTGGTTTCATTGAGGCGTGTTTTGTTTAAGCTGAATAATCTCATGTGATCTAAGGCAGAAATCTGCCCCTTAAGAAAATACTAATAAGATAATGAATGTATCTGCTTTTAATACTCACCGCTGGGCTTTTGATAGATGACAGGTCTTGACTCGACCTTTTTCCCCTTTTCTCTCAGTATGTTAGCTGGATCCGTCCCTCCTTTTGCATCAGTCATCACTTTAACACACACACACACACTGGGATGACAGACAGGTCTCTCAAACCATATCTGCACTCCCCCCCCCAACACCACCACCCCCCTCCTCGTGCGCCCCCGTCCTTCCTGCATGCCGCCGTGCTGCCCTGCGGACATAACGCCCCCCTTAGTCCGTAGCTGCCAAATGGTCAAAGGGAACACGTGTCCCTTCTAGGACTCTGATTTCTTTTGCCATGTTCCCTTTTCACACAGTCTGACTGCTTTTTTTTTTTTTTTTCTTTTAACGACTCAAAAGCATGAGCCATGTGCTGACACGCCCGACATTTTCACAGTGGCAATTTCTTTCCTATCTGTTATTATCTGGCTCTTTGCCGGCTTTGTTGAACAGGCACTGTATGGCACCTGTCTTTGACAATGCCCCCCCCAGCTGTGTCTCCCGACAAATCTTGTCAGAATTGGACACTCGTGGTTGCGGAGGAGACGTTAAAAGCTGCGGTATCTCACAATAGAGCATCAGGCCTGCGCATTGTTCACAATGCCACTTTGTGCCAGCTCTGATTCCCCTGTCTGAAGTCAGAGTCGGAGAATAAAGGCCTCTTGATTGAGGCTGCTGGTGACTGGAAGGGTAGCGTGGCACGGTGCATGAATTTAGCTTCTTCACTTCTCTTCGTGGCAAATGTTTACTATTGATTTAGTTGTAGTTAGGTCCCATTGTGTGTTCTGCTCTGCCGAGATTGTCAACTGCCGATTTTGTGCCAACTCCATTACGGACATGTATGTGGTGTTTTAGTTGTTGCTGATAAATAGTTTCTAAAAACAGGTTTCTGCCCAAACGTACAGTCATTTTAAAAGACATTTTTCCACAAGACACAAATTAAGATATTAACATAGATTTCGAGGGCGTCAGATGAGAAATGCAGTGCAGACAAACTTAAAGGGGAAAGGATTTTACACATCAAAGTCTGTTTATAGGTCTTGAGGGGAACTCCTGCATATATTGCTTTTTGATGGTCCGCGGGGAGCTGCAGCAAGTCTGGTAAATTTATTGGTAAGGACTCAGGACTACAAGTTTGAAAATGAAGGAAATTCTGAGGCTGCAGTCAGAGTTAGAAAGAAGTGAGCTGACCTCTGTAACCCGCTCCTCATCCGTGCATGAAGCTAATGGTTTGAGGCTACGTTAAATGCTACTAGTATACCATGCATCTATGGCTGACCACATTGCATTATGGGAAATACAAGCTTGAAGGAGGAAGACAATATGTCAGGTTGTGCTGCATCTATTTTGATCTTCTATTCTAACTGATCGTCATTAGTTTGACTTGTAGGTGTATTCAGATAAAGTACAGAAATGAAGGGAAGCTGCGTTTAGCTTTATCGATAACGCTGAAGGGGGATTATTTTGCCCGGTTGTCCCGTTCTGCTCGGTGCTCACCAGGTGGGAGCCATGCAGGGGAAGTCTGAGGAAACCAAGGTGGGCGGATCGTTCACCTCTGGGCCTGGAGAGGTCTGGATCTACAGAACACCTGTGAGTTTAGCAGAAGAAAAGCAGTGTGAGTGGGTAGATTCAGCGCCTGTTGCTCAGGGAGAGGCCAGAGGAAAGACAAATGTAGGAAGAATACACAATGTTGACATAATGTGCAACAGCGTTTCAGCTGTGATATTCTCATGAGTTGTTTACTGTGGCTTGTTTATATTTTTTACATATTGTTAATGAGCTGAATGAATTGACTGTTGGCAGCATGAACTGACAGTCACAGCTAAATGGACGTCCTTGGGGATGGACTGAGAGATGGAAGGACAGATAGAAAGAACCGGGCCGAGAGGAGAGACACTTTAATAATAGAAACCATTAGAGCAACAAGGAAAAAAAAGCTTTTTTCATTCTTTTTTTTTTTTATTGTGATCCTTTCAGCGGCAAAATGAGGCGGTTCACGCGCCCCGGTTTGATTTGTCTGCAAGGCCCCGTGTCCACGATCGTGAGTGCTCCCTGAGCGCAGTAATGAACCATTTTATGATTCATTATCTCTCTGCTGATTCCTGCTGCCAAGTCTGCAAACTTTCTAATTAGCTTAGGTCAAACATTCATACAGTCTTCCTCTAATTATCGTTGCTTATTACGGAATGGACATCGGGACACCGCCGCAGAGAAACAAATGGGTGTGGGTGGTGTCGTCTGTGGAGAAATAGAAACACTCTACCAGGGAACGTTACCGGAATGGTCAAGAAGAGAGACGGGGATTTACTGAAAAATTGCAAAGGAAGGGCTCCGGTAATACAGCCTGTAAAATAATCACTGCAAAAATAAAGAGGAAAACACCTCGGGAATATAGAAAATGAATATTTAGTAACCATTTTGTAGATTCAGCGGATTCGACCTGGTAATAATAAAGGTAGGGAATACTAATCCAGATCGGGTCATCCCACAGTTGCTTGTCCATATAATATATTGAATATATAATATATATATAGTAATTATGTGTGCATATGGTACATGGTGTGTGGCCCTATTAGCGTTTGGAATATGAAGCCACCGCACCCAGCGGGGAATAAAGAAAAGCACCAGTGAATGTGGGAAGCCCTTCCATTGAATGTGAAGTTTAAATCCTCCGCATGCGGCGGCCCAACGTCACGTTGTCAGCTTGCTATTGTCGCCGGGCACAGTGGGAAACTTATCAGAAACGGATGGCGGGGACCGGCCAACTGTGTGTGCAGATGAAAGAGCGGAGCTTAAATGTTTTGCATGGAGTGATTAGCCCGACCCCACCCGCCCCACCCTCCAAATACACACGCACACGCAGATACAATACACCCCAGCCATGATTACACACCCTTCACTGTACTTAACCGCCCGATTGCTCCTCTCTTAGTTCACATATGTTAGGTTACTAATGACAAAACGATGCTTTCGTAAGGAGATTATACTTTTCTGATACGTTTCAGCTTTCGTTTTCTGTCACTTTTGCAGCTATGATTTCCCCCCTTTCTAGTTGGTGAATTCATGGATGCCACTCGGCTTACAAGACCTGCAAAGCCTTAACACATTGCGGTTTATTGGGCCGTTTGGAGCAGAGGAAAAAATATGTTAGAACAAAACTGACATACGACCTTTTCAGTTGCTTATCTACAAAAACACAACATTTTAGCATTCTAGTTTTTCACGTACTGAAGGATGTAAGTCCAAATACTGTTATATATTACTGTTAAAAACGTATATTTTTTTACTTTCCCCAAACTCCTGACAGAGACGTCAGACTCTTTACCTGCTAAATTCTGCACTACGGCCTGCAGGCAGTTACCTCCTTCAATCTGAAGACAACAGCGCTTTGGAGAGCGGTCAGCATTAATACGTAGGCTAGAACATAGAATACAACACATTCAATTGTTTGTGAGACTTTGATTAAAGAGAGAAAGTAAATTGAGAATCTGGGCCTAAACCAGCAGCAAGCTTGCAGTCCGTGCCCCTTGAATGCCTCCATTTTGTCTTTGGTTGGATCCCATTTTAAGGCCGCTAGCAAACAAATCATCCAATTCACCTTTGTAAAGAGCAAATTGCACGGCGCGTATGTAATGAACGGTGGAGAATTGAGTCCGACAGATACAGGAGATGGAGACTCAACGCAGCGGAGTGCACAATTTGAAAAGAGGAGAAAAGATTTGCGTGTGCGGGCATTTGTGTGAGACACTCCTTCTGATGTCTCTCATTTTGTAAAAAAAAAAAACCATCTGAAGAGAAGTCGGCTCACCTGCTACTGCAGCGACAAAGGCGAGTTTTGAAAGAAAGACTCACTGTCTGTTCTCAAAAGGAAGGGAAACTGAGAATAAGAGTTCTATGTTCCATAGATTTCTATAATAACACATCAATACCGTGCTACATTCGTCATGTTAAAGGCACACGCTTTGAGTCTGAAGATTTGCCTCAGCAACTGAACATGAAATGTCATCTTGCTGTGTGTTTGTGGGTGCGTGTGTGTGCGTGCGTGTTTGTGCAGCCTGTATTCGATCCACACGCCCCGGGTTTCCTCCAGTGGAGCAAACTTCCCCCCGTCAACCAACTCCCGCCGTGCCGGAGATCAACTCAGTCCGTCTCCACATCAAACCAGATTTAAATGGGTGGAAAAAAAGAAAGGAGAAAGGGGGAGGGGTGGGGGGGGGGGGAGAAAAGGGTGCCAAGGAAAAAGAAAGCAACAGAAGAGAAAGAGGGATAAGGGGAAATTGGATTTAAAGTTAAACCAAAATAGAAGAGATGGAGTATAAACACTGTGGGCTGTATTTCTGTCATTCTTGACTTAACAGACTCCATCTCTCTGCCCCTTCGCCATCCAGCCCTATAGTGGGTGCCCAGTGAAGGGGCACTATCATTTACCAGCACACTAATTAGAACAGTCAGCACAGCACAACTCCACTTCACTCACCACCAGGCTCACAAATTACATTTCATGTTTGTTAGTTACTGCTCTTCTTTAATTAGAAATCATTTTTTGGGATTACCATTTAGCAAAACGGAGCTCCTCTGATAAATACACTCACACTAAATGCTGTCCGTGAGTGAAACTGCTTCAATCCTTCACATAAATTTTAATTATAATTAGTTACTACTGCCGAAATTCTTCGAGACCAGCTTTGTAAAGCACGCTGCAAATCATACAAATTAGGTTGTACTGTTATCTCTTGGAAGTCGTTTTTTCTACACTAAGGCTACAAAAAGAGACATTTTTCTTGAGGAAGGCTTAGACTTTGTTTTAACTCGTCTTTGTGGACGTGTGAGCTGCTGCCAGTTCCTGTTGCTCTCGTTTCCTCTGCAGGGGGAAATGTTTAATGTTCGGGCTCTTTAACACTCAGCCGGGCCACGAAGCAGCCCTGCAAGAGGGGGGCGGAGGACCGGAAGGACTTGACAGTACAGACAGGCACAGACGGAGGTGGTGCACGCAGATGCACGCATGCTGGTCTGTAAATACTTGGAAATGTGCAGGAATCACAACAAACATTTTCTCACATACTTTACTTACGGTTATCTGAAAACGGATCGCGGGGAGCTCCTTAAGGTATCCGTTGATAGAGGATACAATACATCGTAGTGTCACTCTCAGAGCTGCGAGCGACACAGAAGTTCTATTCATTTACATGAAGCAATCTAAAGGAGGCAGATGTCTCAAAATATGGAAACGTTCAAACAAACCATGCAAAAATCGACATGTGGCATTTGCAGTTACAGTGAACTGGTTTGCTGTGCAGTAATCAATGCTTTTCTGATAATAATAATTCAAACCTCTTTTACTGCCAAACATCTTGTGTTTGGCTGTAAATTGTCGGTGTATTGTAAACTGTGTTGGCTCCTCCTATTTTTATGCATTATCTAAACACGCTGTGGTTGGAAAAAATCAATCCCTTGAAAAAATGACGTTGGCAACATAAACCGTCTTGGGTGTTAACTCAGGGATATTCAAAAAAGCAGCATTTGTCTCAGCGTTGAGACACTTGTGCATGAGTAATGTCACCTATATGTGAAAGTAAGTCGAATTAAACTGTTCTATCTGTGCTGGACTGTCACTGTTTATGTATGGAAGCCTCTGTGGCGATGACAGGCATAATGGCCTCTTCCAACCGACTTAGCTAATAGCTTCTGCTCGATAACCATTACGGATGTCGGACCACTTGTGTTCCGCTCTGCTATATATTGAAGCCAATGTGCCTTATTTTCTGCACAGTAAGTGCATGCACCTATTTCTATAACGTTGCATTAATACAGGGCATGAAGCGCAGATTGTTTGGATGTTGGATAGCTCCTTATCTCATATCAGTGTGAATAATGTGTGAGGGAGGTTGGGGGTGTCATAGGATAGGGGTGGTGTTTAGGGGGGGGTTGAGAAACGATAGGATGCAGGGATGCTCCATAAATCCCTCACATAATTGTTTCCCTACTTGGTGTGCAGTCGTGCTCCATAAAGGGGCAAAGCCAAGGGTGCCCTAAGTATCAGGGGAGCGGCGCACTGATGAATCACCTTTTAAAGATATCATAGGGAGGTGCGTTTCACGTGAAGGATGAGCCCAGCAAAGAGCCCGGAGGCACCGTCCGCTTGTTTAAGCCTATTTTACCCCCCCAGGAGAAATGTGTCTTTTTATCAACTGTCCAGAGAAGTCACAGCATATTCTACAGGAATAAATCAAAGAGAATTTGTTTGCTCTTTTTCTTTATCTCTGATGGGCCCGTTTTTCCTTTTTGGCGATCACCTGCAGAAGTATGCGGTTGCGTCCACGTGTGTGTGTGTGTGTGTGTGTGTGTGTGTGTGTGTGTGCAGGGCTGGCCTGACAGTAGAGGTGGCCGACACCTACATGTGATTACTTTAGCTTCAGCTGGCAACACAATATTTAAAGTAACAATAAAATAACACAATATTTAAAGTAGAAACAGTCTGAAAATGCGCTGCAGCTTGTGTGTGAATGTGTGAGAGTGTGTACGTACGTGCGCTTTTTGTGTGTGTGTGCAGCCCCGGTGCAGCAGCGCAGGCCACATTTCGGTTGATGTCTTGATGTTCGTCGGAGGTCGCGGGGTGTCTGTCTGCCTGGGACAGCTATCGTTACAGACCCAGTGCGTCTCCAGATAAGCGAACCGTGTGCCGCTGAGACGGCTCGTGCTTAAAGACACTTTCTACGCGTTACTCAGACGGCTCTTTCAGCACACAGCGTTTAGGCCAGATGAAATTGAATAGGCCCGGTTTGGCGCCCCCCATTATCTCCACACAAACATCAGTATAATATTGCCAGTGGCCTCGCTGGAATAGATCAGAGTCGCGGGAGCGACTGGGGCAAGTTTGAGAATTTATAAATGCAGCGATACTTTCCCTCTCTTTCGAGTTCTAGTGACCATCTGGACTGTTGGTGGCCGTAAAGTCGGTTTTATGAGAGATGGAACAGACTACAGCTCATTCTCTTTCCAATTCTGGAATAATTAAATTAAGTTTGTGTAATAACACCCACACAAAAATCTGACAAAGCATTCAATTCACAAGATTGTAAAAGAGTGTTTCCTCCCGGTTTAGTTTCTTTAATAAAAGAACAAGCTGTTCCGTTGAAAGGGAAAGGCATAACCCTTAAAGAACTTCTGTTGTGATCATGCGCTCTATGGAAAATGAAATTAAAGTAAATTAACTTGACCTTCAACGCGCCCCCCCCCCCGATATAGTGGTAGGAGAAGCACTGCAATGAATCAATTAAAGTAGTATGGTAATATGTCCCTAACTCCAACAACATTGATTAACAGCTCTGCACCAGCTAGTTGTTCACCTCCAAAGCAAAGGACAAATGTGATTTCTCATTTGTTACATAACCTGAAAACACCTGGAAAAAAAATCAATTCTTTGACCTCTACGTCTTTGATTCTGCCATTTTCAATTTAGTACTTTAAAGGGAAATTTACTTTCAGTTTTTTCTCTCTCTCTCTCTCTCTCTCTCTCTCTCTCTCTCTCTCTCTCTCTCTCTCTCTCTTCCCCCTCATGAGGGAGAAATTGCCTTTTCGGGCTGTGAAAGCAGCCACTCATTCGTGTTAATTTCTGTGTTGCTTTCCATCAATCGTCCTCCCCCTCTCTCCGGGTTTTTAATGTTTATCCCCATCTGTAGGGCTGCTTCCATCCTGCTCCATTCTCCCTTTGTGTATACGTCTATAAATTTTGAGAAAAACATGCTGAGGAGCTCCCCTTGGTGATGGCAGCAATTTGGCTTTCATATATTCCTAACCTCCAGACACCGCTTAGTGCTGCTGTAGGGAGTGAGTGCGTGTGCGTGCGTGTGTGTGTGTGTGTGTGTGTGCGTGTGCGTGCATTTGTTTTACAGAATGCCAAGGAGCACTGAAACTTGGTTTTCTTCAGCTGCATTTGTGGGAAGAGTTTGACTTAATATAGGTGGACACTCAGCTGAAGTTTTATTAAAATGATGTTTTTTGAGGTAATCTCTTGTGATTGTGATTATTCAAAGGCTTTTCGGCTCACAATAAAGGACGTAAGCAGTGGACGGTCTTGGAATATGTCCTACATCTAAACTCACTTCAAAAGTATGGGGAAAGTGCATAGATAGATAGATGTTTGATTTGTGTGAAAATACTCAATACTGGGGTTGAGTATAGCTGAACTTATCTGTTCAGGAGGCTTGTCTAGTTTTGGTTGGCTGAGTAATTAAACGAGAGAAGCTAGTGAAGTTCTCCTCAGCTCAGTGCCTCGTCTTGTTTCCTCTTTAATCAGGCGGCTATTAAACCTCTGATTGCACTTCCTTTCTTCTGGCTGCAGCTATTAAACACAGACTGAGAGCATGTTTGGTTTGTGTGTGTGTGTGCGTCTCTGTTTGTGTGCGGGTAAAAGAAAAAGAAACATATAAATACAATATGAGTATTCAGAGTCTTAGACAGAGAGGGAACCAGACACACATTGCCGGGGTCATTGTGTTATTGTACCACAACCTGCGTCATGTTGTTCCACTTCTTGTTGACCAGACGATGAATATTTGTCTTCACAACAATAAAAATCCATTTCACAGAGTACGTCTGACCTGTGAGATGCATCTGTGACCTCCCGTTTGAACTCAGAAGACGCATGTTAAGACGGCTGACCCTCTCAAAGCCTCTCAACTCAAACACGCGTGCGTGGACCTTTTCAGAAATAGTCTTTATTGAATGTATTTCTCTGCCTCCACACGCCGCAATTGACATATGACCTCCGCCACGGTCGTCTCGAATTCCTCCCGCTGCGGTTCTCAGAGATCATGCAGATTAGAGTGATGCCCGGCCGAGCTGCCTGCACACATCCGTTCTTATGTACTCAGCTGACCGCTGTCGGCACGGACAAGGTTGTTCAGCAAGGGGAGTTCACCTTTGGTTTCCTAGAGGCTTTTGCACCATTTCTTTATTTTTAAACGAATTGTTCAAAATAATAGTTTTCATTATTATTTGTCTGGTTATTGAAAGAAAAAAAAAATCAAACCTATGTTTAATCTGATTATAAACAATTCAATATGCATTTGAGGGTCCATAGCAGATACTTTTTTCGTGTTTTATAAACAGAAGCATATTGAAGTTGTGACCATTTTAAGAATACTTTTCTCTGAAAACTGAGTGTACCAATTCCCAACCGAAAAAAATGTGTTTGGACGCAAGGGGGCCATTAAGATCTGGTTTAAGCTTCATTTAAAAAAAACAGCATTTTTGCTTTTTTCTCATTTGCCAACGTTCTGCTATTGAGTGAGCATGTCTGATTGCATTTGTTTATGTGTATGTGTGTTGCTACAGCCCCCGTCATACTCAATGAGTTGAACTGGACCCAGGCGCTGGAGAGGGTTTTCATTGAAAACCGCAAGGAGGACAGCTCCCTGCGCTGGCAGGTGTTTGGCAGTGCCACAGGAGTGACTCGATATTACCCAGGTAGGCCGCCGCCCGTCCGCCTTATAACTCACAGCGAGATTAAATCTAAATTGACCATCGGGCTCCTCGGCTGCAGAACATTGGCAATCGTTTATCTGATGGCTCGATAGACAGAATGGAATTATGATTACCTTGATCTAATCTGATGTGAAATATCCTACAGTGTACTGTTTGGCTTATGGAGTATTTTCTTTCTCTCTCCAGCCACTCCATGGAAGGCTCCCAACAAGATTGACCTGTACGACGTCCGAAGGAGACCTTGGTAAGTGCCATCGGGACCAGAATTGTGATCAGTGTGCTTTTACCTCATTTCTTACACTCAATGTCTAATGAACATTTTAGGAATACGGACAGAAAACTTTCTTTATTTCAAACATATCTATTGTGAATGGGCTAATTTGGACTGGGGCATGATAGGTGATGGAGAGAGAGAATGACGCTGCTGGGGGGCCATACAATTGTCCCAGGTCATCTTTTAGTCAAATAAAAGAGGTAGACTTTGGGCAAATGGGGCATGAGTTAAGTCCAGTTGAGTGTTCAGAATAAAAGGGATTGTCCACACAGAGAGTTAAATTGACTCTGTGAGATTCAATTTGAACTCTAAGCTGGTGTTTATATTGTCCCAATCTTGTCCGTGTTCAACACTCAATTTAACTCGGAATAAGTGTCAAAAATAAATCTGCCCAGTGTTAAATACATTACAGGTCATTTAGCTGACACGTTTTATTCAAAGCAACTTACATTGCGTTTTTAACTAATGGTTTTTACATTTTAGCCCGGGGAGCTAAAAAGACAGCTAGGTGTCTTGCTCAGAGGCACTTTGACATGGGACATGGAGCACCAACCTTGTGGTTCCCAGAACTAACTGCCAGAGTTAAACCGAACACCAAGAAGTGTGACACCGTACAGTTACATTTCAAACCTATCATAGAGTTCATTTAACTCTACTAAGTGTCGCAAATGAATCTGATCTTGACACTGAACAATGACTCCCGCTCTTTCGTACAGTTGACTCTGTAACAGTTGAATCAACGTTTTGCAGTGTGATTTCAACTCCGCACTTCAACAGGCCTAACGCCGGAAAACTAACTTAACCAAGACCAGGAGCAGTAGAGTAAAGGTGCAGAAACTAAATGTGTCCTTATAACGTCTATGCTGTCTTAAAATGATCACACACTGTTGTGATCCCCACACATTTGATTTTTAATATACGCGTTACAATAAGAAATAGGACACTAGTTTTTATGTGTTACATAAATTCAGTTTTTTCAGAATTGTTTTAATCTATTGCTCGGTGCTGGAGTTGACGTACAGCAGTAAATAAAATTCAATAAAACAAAAACAATAAACAATAAAATTCTCTGCACTAAACTGAAATACTCTATTTATGCATCGATGCAGCAAAGGCTTCTGATGATGCCTTTATATTTTTTGTAATATAAAGGCATCTGATTTTCCTTCCTTTGTACTTAAAGTAACCAAATGCACAGAAGAGTCTTAAATGAAGCCATATAATAGGATTCCCGTGCAGTGCTTTGTCTCTCTCTGGCTCTTGTAGACCTCCTGTTTTCTTTCCAGCCCCAAAGCTAAATAACGGGTATTGTTCGGTAGAATGAGCTCAAAACGTTTTACCGGCCCGTATTTATCTCGGTAAGTGATAACGTTGTTCCATTGTCTTCTGCTACAAGGACAGAGCAAGATAGCCGCTAATGTTTTGGTTTTTATTGCCCGCCGTTGCCTGCGCTTCTCTCCGTACCAGCTGATCCCCTGGCAGGAGAGTGAGACGGGCAGGAGAGTGAGACGGGCTGGACAGAACTATGCTGCCTTAGGGCCAAAAAAGCCCCTTCACTTGACCGACGCGAGCTTCCTGTCCACCCCGTCCACTTTCAATCTACCTGCCGCTGTCACATTGACTTTGTGGCAGTCCTGCCTGTTGCCTCGTTGCAGGTCGGAGTGAACTGGACGTAATCATGGCAGCAATGTTGATCGGACCTGACCCCGTTTTCCAACCTGAGTGGCTGTTTGAAGTCAGCTCCGGCTGTCAGATTAAATCAGCTCGCTGCGACTTACAAACTTAACAAACAGAAGACGAGAAGAAAAAAGCTTTTACATTCTCATGAAGTTTGCATGAAACGCAACATCCCAAATGTATAAGTGTCTGTGTCTCTTATATATATATATATATATAAGTAATTTCATTCAATCTTTTCTTTGTACTGTTCCTCTGCAGTGTGTGTACTGGTAACATAGTATTGAATGGGAGGGGGCGTTAATTTAATCGATCCATACGTTTTGAAGTGATAGCAAGTTAAAATTGAGGCAAAACGCTTTGTTTACCTTTTAATAAGAAAAGGCATACAAGCACAATGTATGTGCATTCATCACATGTCAGTCAATTTAATCCGGCTGAGTTTAAACAAGCGTCCTGTCTCTGATCCGACAGCGCTACAAACCAAGTGCACCCAAGTTTAATTCTCTTCCATGTGTTTTGAGGGGGAGACTCCACCCCGTCACAGGAAGGAACAAGAAGTGCATCACTGCCAGAACACCTTGTCCCCCCACATGGTCTTTTCATGTCACTCTTGAGCTTACCCTCATTTGGGAGCCTTCGACATTGTTGTGGCCCGTTGCTAAGCAACTTGTGCCCGGCCACTCCGACCGGCGGGGCCGTGTCATGATGTGTCAGGTCAGACTTGTGTTATTATAGTCTAACGTGCTGTCTCCCCGACTGACCCTCTGCGGAGAGATCACCCAATCACACGCGTTACAAAAGCAGTCCAAAGGGGGGGTTGGGGGGGGGGGGGGTAAGCCCGTCATGATTGCTTATGTGGCTGCAGTGGTGGATGGCAGCATCCGTCACGAGGCCAGTAACAAACAACAGCAAGAGGAATTACACACAAGTTGTACAGATGCTTAGACTAACACAGGTCATGCACTTGGGGTTAAAATCATAGGAATGACAAATAACTGTAAAATTCAGTTAAAAAAAACATATAAGCCTCGAGCATCTGGATGGGTGTTTCCCATGGCAACAGATGAGGGACATCTGAGAGCCGGCATTCCTTTGAGATGCAATGTCAACCTGTTGGATGCATGATTGAAGCACTTCATGTTGAATAGCTTATAAATGTTCATACAAGACACAAGGCCACCATGGTAAATGCGACAGTAACACCCGGCTCAAAATGTCACCGGAAGCTAATCATGCTGTAATTGTTGTTCTCCACTTTTAAAGTGGAAGCTCACAAGCAAGGCCAACAGACTTGAGCTGACTCCCACAACATGTAACTTTTTGTTTTTGTCCTTTCAACATCGAGGTATCAAGTGCAGAGCAGGAGGACGATGCCAGTGTTAGCCTTCTCTATTTCATGGGTCCAGGTGCGGTAATAGAAAATAACTAAATTAAATTAGGATTAACACTCACTGCAGCAGGTACTTCTGTAGCGTTTCTAGCATTACTGCTTACGGGCACAGACAACACACTCTGTCTCGCACGTCTTCCGACATACCGAAAAGCACTTTCCCCTCACAAACTCACAAATGCTTAGGACCATGTAGGCCGGTATGCAAGATCGATACTGGAATTCACAAATGCCACGATAGCAACTGGGATACGCCGATGCAATTGCGTGAGCATGCTTCGGTAAACGTTTCCGCTGTCCATCTGCGGGAAGAATCCCCCCTGTCAGAGATTTGATTTACTCCGGAAAAGTCAACGCAACGAGGCCCAGAATTCACGGCCAGTTTGTAGCGTAATAGACCTCTAGCTTTCCTGGGACGGATGGATGGCGGCGTGGCCGACCTGGCCGGAGGTGTCCAGGTGCAGCGCTGAGGAAGAAGATCAGAGGACCGGCCTGCCTCTGCAGATGCGCTCTCTCCCCGTCTGCTCTCCCACCCCAGCAGCCTCGGGAGAATTAATGGTCCAGTCAACACACTTAATTGTCTCCAATTGCTCTGACATTAATTATTAACATTTGTCCATTATAATGTCTGTTGGCGTTATCAATGGAAGCGAAGCAGAGGGTGAACTGAGGCTGAGGCAGTGGGAGAAGCAAAGGGGCGAGGAGAGAAATGACCAGAGACGAGCATGAAGTCCTGTTAGCCAAGCGTTGCAAAGATCCCATTACCTCCCAGGGTTCACAACAGCATGTAGGCTATATCACATATTGATTTCTTCAAAAAGTCAATCTAACCCCTTTGTAAATATTGTGACTGCTGTTCAATCCTCAAATCCCCAAAATAGCGCATTCCCTGTATCTCCTTCTTTCAGCCTGTGCACTTTACTTCAGGGAAAAGCGCGGTCAAAAGAAGGGCCGCAGTGTGATGGCTGAGGCTGAAGGGAGACAACAGCTTTAGCGCTCCAAATTTAATATTTGAGGTTTGAGCCAAAATGTGAGACTCTGCAGAGTTTTTATTTCGTCTCAAAGAGCGACCGAAGGGTAACCGAAAAAGTACATGTCTACTAACAACATATTCCAATATGCATGATTCATTAAATATCCAGAAGGGAAAGTGGTTGAAAAATTGAGCATTACATTTTGTGTGTTCTTTTTAGGCATAACCGAAAATATGGTAACGCAAATCTCGGTACCAACACTTCCAATAATCAACAGAAAGTGGAATAAATAAACGGCAGACAACATCTCTTCGTCCTGCAGGCTCTCTGGGCGCTGTCCTATATATATTTTTTTTTAATCTTAATTCAATCTTTATTCGCCTGCCACATCCACAGGAGCACTAAGAGAGCAGCAGTCCATAAAATAATAAGCCCATCAAGCACAACACAAATCCAGACGCACATGGGAGCAAACCCAGCTACATGCACACATACACATGCTTATATACAGACATATACAGCCGTCATTGGGGGGGGAGGGAGTACATACTGTGCATGATGGCTGCATATCAGAGCTCATACCGTCGAGAACAGATACGATACAGATGACACTGTATAATGTAATTAAACATGCAAACACAGTATTATTTGCCGGCACACTCAGAGCACAAGCCTCTCCATGTGTCATGCTGCATGTATCTACTGCATGTGTCTGAAATGTATGTAGTAGATAATTCCTCCAATTTGAATGTGATGCGTAACACTTTGTGGAATGGGTCAGGGTGCATAAACACAATCTCCTGAGAGAGTTGCCCCCCCCCCCCCGGCACCGTTAATGTATTGATTTTACAGCGCTGCGCCCTGATAAAACTATTTCATGAATTCCAATGAGTCCCCTTTACCAGGGTGCTGCCAAAGGAGCAACAATAGAATCAACATGATGCAGAAAATGTCATTGTGTTCATTGCTTGTCTAAAGCATTTCTTTTAGAATGGTGGCGTGTTGTGAGGGTGAAGGTTGCTGTTTTAATCTTCTCTTGTTTAGTGAAAGAACCTCTTCCACCTCAGCCCAAAGAGCACGTCTTCTGCACGCACAAGTTATCCTGATTGTACATTTTGTAATGGTACGAACATTTATCGGCCCAATTAACAAATAAAAGGCATTCACCACTCAACCACAGGCAAGTACTTTACTGCTATAAACTGAAACGACTTTGTGTACCATGTGGATTTATTGCAAACCTCTACACTATATTCAGTTGTTAAATCCCTTTTTCAAATATTTGTATTATAATTGTCTTTTTGATTAGTGAGTCAGTTTATAAGGTTTCAGATATCTACAGGCTCTCAGGGGTCAAACGTATCCGTAAGTGTTGATGCTAGTTATCTGGCCAACTGTCCTACAGCAACAAAATATTAAATTACAACATAAAAAAAGCTCTTCACATTTGAGAACCAAATTTTGATGAGCAGGATTTTTTTGCTCAATAATTAAAATGAATAATTGATACTTTTTAAGGGTTGTTACAAAAACCACGAGACCTGATCAGTTGAAAAATACATAATCTCACTATGCGAGAGGTCAATTTAAATATACAGTGTCAGTTAAAAGGACATGAATATGTTATTCCCGCATTGCTCCGTGTCACAGTCTCTTTAATATTCAAAAGCATGTTTACTTTGTTTGTGTTTGTAGAGACGTTCGGGTTCGCTGCATATGATTTTGGTTTGTGTTTATGTTTGTCTATGTGTTTTATTTATACTGTGCCTTTTGTTGGACCTTGTCTGCAAACTGTTTGAAATGTTTTTTTGTGAGTAGCCGCCGTACTTCCATTTGAGATGTGGTTTCACTTGAATACCTGTTTATAATTGCATGGTATCAAAAGGTTTAATTAAATCACACGCAATTGAACTCTGAAACTTTCCCATTAGTTTATCTTTTGTAAAGAGTTTCTCATAGAGTAAGAGAATTGGCACACCGTCTTATGTACATAGATTGCTCATGTCTAAAATAAAGTGCCTCCACTAGTTCTGATTCTGCACCGGCGGTTTTGTACCGACAACTTTGAGTGAACGGACAGAGAGGCCAACGGCCGATACGTCGTGTCTGTCGGCTGATGGTTGTGTTGTGGTGGAACGGAATGGGCGACGGGGCTCAGTTCAACACCAGCAAGGCCCATCTGCTTGTCACCTGGCTTTGGCACATTGGAGACTGGGTAATGACAGGGAAAGAATGGCATCAGTGGGCAGAAGCTGAGAGGTAATTACTGACTGGAATCCATGCAGAAAAAACACATCTGGATCCGTGAGTCAAAATGTGAAGAGTTATACACTGATATTGGCCTCAATTCAAGATTTTTTTTTTTTAATCCGTTGGAGGCGTAGAACTTCATATCAGCCCCGGAGACCGAAAATCCTTGACTCCATCCCGCTCTCTCTGATCCTGATGTTCTCCGCTCAGAGGCAAGGAGAGAATTCATTTGTGCTTTAGGCGCTGAAAAGGGGAGAAAGAGAGCGAGTGCTGATACGCCAAGACAATCAGCGGGGAAGATCAGCCATGGCAGCACTATAGCTTCATGTTGAGCGACGCTATCATGGCTCATGTGTTACTCCTGTCTACTCCATCACTGCTCACAGATTCCTGCTAAACCCCATTACTGCTGATCAATGCTGCCTCTTCCACCGGGAGAGAAATGATCTTCTTGAAAGTGATATTTTTTCATCGTGGCCATTTCTCCATTGTGATATTTTTACATTGGGCCTGTGGACGATAACCTATAACGACTGCTGGTAATAAAAGTCCGCATTTCCTTTATAATTAACATTTAGCCCCTTCAAACTAACTTTGGAGTCCCGTTAAAGCACTTTTCGTCTCGACGAGAAATACGCTGACCAGAGAAGTTAATGAAATCCTGCAGTTGGTTCTCAGGCGTCAGCCGTCCCCAAATTGCCCTCCTTCACTCTCCAGAAGGGGTGTCTCCATTCCTGAGCCTGAGGGGGGCGGGGTGGGGAGGTGGTGAGGGGAGGGGTAGAGACTCGGGGCCCTATTTTGACAGAGTCTCCGTCCTGCATCGATGATCGCTTTCACAAACCCCATCCGCTCGAAGGAGGGAAAAAAAGCATCCGCTGTGTGGAGTCTCCGCTCTCGCCCCCTTTTCCCTCACTCCCTCAAATTAAGATTTCAGTAATTAAATTGATAAAAGTCATGCGTGCCAATATGCCTCATGGTTCCAGACCTGATTTCATACGCCGCACAGTTAGAGAGCTGCGGAAGTTCTACCTTTGATGTGGCATTCTTTATTATTGAAAATAATTGGATTCCCTCTCCCCTCTCTCTCTCTCTCTCTCTCTCCCTCTCTCTCACACACATTTATTTTGCCGTATACGGTGCCGAGTCCCCTGTTCCATCGGGGGGAGGGTGTTTCAGGTAGCTTTTCAGTGGAGTGGGCCCCAAGTTTTGACCGCCAAACGCTTTTTTTCCGAGCGGCCTGGGCAGCGAGCTGGCGGACGGTTCAGAGGTCACGCCGCAGGTTGTTGGCTGCGGCCAACGAGTGGCAGCGGCGAGACTTGTGGCCGCTTGTGTCGAATCCCACCGGGGCTCCGTTGCTCTGCCTCCATATCAGCTCGGCCCGGCATTTAAAAAAAAACAGTAATAAAAGAGCCTCTCTGGCCCACAGGCAGCTGGCTTCTCTCCACACTCGGCGGAACGGCTGATAATCAGCAGAAAGAGACCCCCGATGATTACTCTGCCTAAGAGGGCTGCTAACTGCTTGCCCACTCACTCCTCGGAATACTTACATTTGAGAACCCCTCTTCCCGAGTATGCCGTAGAAACGCCTGCAATGTCCGTCAATCTCAGCTCTCAAGGGTAAAATGTGAATTTAATTGCCACTGGAACAGAATGAGGCATTTTTGTATTTTCCTCCGTATGTCGTCCTTTATCAACCCGCGGACAGATTCTACGTGTGTGCGTCCTCCGGGGCGCAGATTGTCCGGCCGTGCGAGTTCCGTGCCACCTCGTCCTCATAGTTCAACGCTGTGTTGAGGGTGGAAACACACAAAGAAAAGCCCTATTTCAGCACAATGGTCTTTACCTGGTTTGGCACCCAACGAAGCTGTTTCTTGACAAGTTTGAATACATTTTAATTGACTAAATATAAATAATTTCAGACTTTATGAGTCACTGTCACAAGTAATTACAGAAGTACCGTATCTTGTAAATTATTATCAGTGTCCTTAACAAGTAAGGAAGTGTAAGGTACTTAACTATAACAAACACATTTGATTTGGAAAGACAAATTTGAATATGTACGTAGATGGTTGTTAAGAAAACTTAATAATAACTTTCATTTGTCTTAACCAACTAATTTCAGAAAAAAATCCAAATTATGGATTAAACTAATAATATACAATTCATGGTTTTTGGCTTTGATGAACTGTATGAAATTGTATGAATCCTTTGTTTGGACACATGTTGAGTTCTTCTCCTCTTAGACCATAGGGCTCTGGGCCAATTTTAGTGAATGCGTTATTATATACTTAGACCATAAACTAGCAATTGCTTTGGCTTATACAGTAATTATTTAGAGTGGGGATTGTTATTCAGTAAAGAGGAGTATCTCTGTTGAAGTCAGCCGACAGTGAAGTGTGTAACACAACTTATTAACTCTTCTAAGCACATAAGCCTTTTCAGTATTCCGTGGCTTAAGTGGGCTCCGTTATGGTCGCCCCATGTTATCGTGGCTCAGCTCATTGGGACTTTTGCTCCGTTCTTTATAGCAATTCTCAAAGATTATAGGAACAAATTAAAGTCCATTCTTTCTGTCTTTTGTACAGGTACATCCAGGGTGCATCGTCTCCAAAGGACATGGTCATCATTGTGGACGTGTGAGTTTCTTTCTCCTCAGTCTCTCTCACCCTTTAACACCCTCCCCCCCCCCACATCCTGGATGTGTCTTTTAAAAGGCGCTAGTGCCACCTGTTGGCCTGAGGAAAGCCTAAAGTTAGACAAAGGCAAACACAGCTCCCCCCCCGCCTTAATTAATATAGTTAATATATTATATCACCTTCTGACACAGGAATGCTTGCCTCAACATGAAAAGTCTGGTCAGAAGGACGTTAGGAAAAAAATACACGAGCAGGATTTCTAGCTCCTCTCATTACTGATCTTAAAGTGATTAAAAGTCCTTATTTTTTGTTGCAGGAGTGGAAGTGTCAGCGGCCTCACTCTGAAGCTGATGAAAACCTCTGTAGTCGAGATGCTGGAAACTCTGTCGGATGACGACTACGTGAACGTGGCCAGGGTAAGTAGAAGTTTGCGCCAGGATGTGCGAACGAATGACACAAGTAACCTTTGAAAAGTGGTTACATCCACTAAGCAGGTGGTCATCATGCAGGGATTCGCTCTGCTCAAACTTCCTGCCTGCTGTCTGCTTTCCATGGAAATACACTCGACATCGTGTGTATACTTTTCCTGACCCGCCGTGCTCGGTGTGGGATTGTGGGATGTCTTTCTTTGCCTCTCTGCCGATTACCAATTTTTCTATGAGGACTAATGTTTAGGGAAACATTTAACGTTACAGATAAGACACACACACACACACACAAACACGTCCCAATGCTCTGTGTGGTGGCTCGTTTTGGAGACAAACTTCGGTAATCCTCCATAATCCATTGCTCTTAGCCACTGTGTGCCTCTAAATCCCAGCTCTAAAGGCAAGAAATGAGCATGATAATCTGGGTGGGAATGCATCTGATTCCTCCCTATAAAGAAAGCAAGGGCTCACAATAGCTCGCTGTCAATTATTGGCACAAAAGACCAAAATGACCCAAATTATACTGGGAAAAAAATCATTACATTTGTATCATCAAGCATCAGAAGTTTTCTTTATGAAACTGAAGGTTCACTTGCTTGCATGGCCGTATCAATAGTTATAATATAAACTTTTTTATATTTCTCATTCGTTTAGATGGCAAATGTAACACCGTTTTTTTTCACAGCTACTGTATTTTCTAACACGTTGACACAAGAAATGTGGTATAAAGACGTGACACAGCGATTAATATGTAATAAGTGGCTCTGAATACTTTTGTGTGTTTGATTTTGATGTCTCACTATTTAATATATGACACAACACCAACAAATGTTAAATGTCAGCTTTCCTCACACATAATGTTTTACACCAATTCTTCTTGAAAATGTCAATTAAATTTGAGGTTGACCTTCAAGCGCCTGCTGCGTTTGAAACCTTCTATTACAGACATTGCTGCTAATGTTGTAATCACACGTAGCACCGCGCACAAGCAGAAAAATAAATGCAGCGAACACACACACAGTTTTAGGCTAATTTGGTGAATGAGATGAGACAGATGATATTACCTTGGCTGGGTTTCTGTTCAGCGGTTCGCACTGGTGTTTCAGGTGCACCTGTTCTTTGTGTGAAAAGTTGTAATTACCAGCATTTACTGCCAGCCAGAGAGGCGAAGGGCAGCTCACATCTGCGCACACCCACGTCTGCATCCTGCTGCCGTGAACCACCACAACAGTTGCACACGTTTTTATACTTTTTTTTTTAATCTGAAAAAGCAAAATTTGCAGTCTGCTCATGTGAGTGTTTGTATGTCCCCTTCTAGTTCAACGAGAAGGCCGATGCTGTCGTCCCGTGCTTCAGGACTTTAGTCCAAGCCAATGTCCGGAACAAGAAGATCTTCAAAGAGGCCGTCAAGCACATGCAAGCCAAAGGAACCACAGATTATAAGTCTGGCTTCACATTTGCCTTTGAACAGCTTCTCAATGTAAGAGCCAAAAAGCCTTTTTAGGACAATTTGGCGGTGGATGTTTGTCTGTGTCAGCTGTGTGCCTCCTATAAAAAGTCTTCAATGACTTGCTGGAGCTGCGTGCCGAAGCCCCAGCGCGTTATTATACATCCTGTCGCATCCAGTTAAAAAACAAAAAAAAGTGAATGAGCAGCGATGAAACGGTTTTGTATATAAGACATTTGCAGAGCTCCGTCCATGTCGAACGCAGGTCCGATAACAGCCGCCGTCGCGACGGAGTGCCACTGCCGTTTGCGGCAGCCAGCACGGCGCTGAGGTCTGACAGCGGCAGGCATCCACGTGCGCTCAACACAGGTGCTGCCTCAGCTCCGTATGCTGCCGCGTATTTTAAGAGGCTGCCACCCTAATGGGCTCTGATGGGATGATTGATGAGCGCTCGGCGCAGCCCAGAGGAGATCGACCACAGACACTTTGTATTCCTCTGGTGGGCTCGGAGGCACAGAGCCGAGTGCCAGCTGCCCCCCCTTCCCGTCACCTTCTCTTGCCAGCAGAATGAGAAATAAAAAGGCCTGTTTAATCGCTGTCTGTAGCAGACCCACTCCTGGGATTGGTGGCAGAAGCACAATACAAATATGTAATTGCAGCAATGTTATCAATCTTTATTAGAATCTTGTCAGATTGACAGGCCACTGGCCTGCATGTTAATGGCAGCTTCCACGCAGGCAGCCGGTTTGAATCAAAGCTGAATGCTAAAAACTGCCTCTGAGCATATAATGCTTCATTATGAAAGCTGCCAATAATAACTAAAAATACACAGTTCGATGGATTTGAAGTTTGCAATCCGTCCTATGTTGTATTGAAATCTGGAATATATATAATGTAAAGTTACTGTAGAGCCAACTCAAGATATATTCTATATAATAGGACAAAATGATTCACGATAGTAATTTATTAACTGGATACATGTATGGATGCACAAAATTCATAAGCATGACATGGAACTATATTGTATTATAGTCGTTTCTAAACTGTTTATTACATGTTTACAAGCTGCATGTTATATGAAATCTTCACATTTTGTTTTGTGTTGCATTTGACTGTCCATTTTATACTTCTTAGACATATTTATCACAATACCAGACCGTTTTACAGCCTGTGTTTGCACGCTGCCCTTCCTCTTTCATTATTGCATATTCCCTAACCTGTCTCGCCGTCTCTTTGTTTGCTGCTCTGTCCTCCCTCCTCTGTCTTCATGTGCCACAGGAGAGCAGCGCCCCGAGGGCCAACTGCAATAAGATGATAATGATGTTTACAGATGGCGGGGAGGATCGTGCACAGGACATCTTTGAGAAGTACAACTGGCCCAACAAAACGGTGAGGCTTTCCCCAAAAGGCTTTTATCTATTCGCCAACATCGCTGTGCCATCCAAAGGCCTCGTGCACATCCAGAAACGGTCTTAGCATTTCTCCCCCGTCTCCCACCGCAGTCTGCTGATATTGTCTCAATATTCAAAGGTTTCAAGGATTATTTGACTCACAAAGACATATATTTGCAGCTTGTTTGTAACACAGCAAACACATGACAAACAAAGGTATACAGTGTACATTCCTGTAGGGAATTCTTTCAAATTTGTATCATGAGGAATGTAAACAGCAGCAGCAAAAAACAACTGTCTGGGCGGATGATGCGGTCGACATCTTCGCATAAGAAATTCAACGCGAGGAAAACAATATCCATCAACTAGCGTTTAAACGGCGAGCGTCGCGATGCAAACACAGAATCCACATCGTCCTGACGGAGCATTGCTCTCCATCCTGCTGCACCCGTCAAGTGCAGCTTGATCCCAGATGAATGTGACTCTCTGTGGAAATCTGTTTTCACAGCAGCTGTCTGAGTAGTGGAGTAGCCTCGGGTTCTAGCTTTTGTTAGCTTAGATTTCTGCTGTTGTTTTTTTTTTTGCTGCCTTCCTCGAGAAGTTTGTTTTTGGGCTCTTGATCCTGGAAAACGTCTTTTTTAAATGTATTTTTTCTCTTCAATCCAGGTTCGTGTCTTCACCTTCTCTGTTGGCCAGCATAATTATGACGTGACCCCTTTGCAGTGGATAGCTTGTGCCAATAAAGGTACGTGGATGAGGTGTTTCCATCAAAGCATATGTGTGTATGTACATATTATAAGTCGTTACAGTATTGGTAGTTTGATTATGGATAGAGATTTCTTAAATGGACACGTTCTTCCATTGTACTCAACATCTACCCAGGTACTCTTTAACTCTTTTACCATAAATATTGATAGAAATCAATATTAAAACCTGCTGGCATATTTAAAAAACCACCATCAATAAGATTTATCTGAGTTTTTAACATAATATTTGAACGATCTAAAGCAGCAGCAGTTCCTTAAATAACCCGGCGAACCGGCAGCTCTGCCTCCGACAACCCAAATGATTCAGCTGCTCTTCCTGTTAGCTGCTCTGTCTGCTCGAATCTCATCTCACCACATTAAATCACAACCTGAATCAGACCGCTGTTTCCAAGCTCAGTTCAGAACCCGGTTGTATTTTTCCTCCTTTCTTTGCGTGGTTTTGTTTTTACATTGTTTCTCAGTGTTGTATTGTATGTGAAGCCGCTCCTTGATAAGGCCTTTATTTGCCTGCGTGAAGCCTCGGCTAACTGATGCTGCTGCTTTTCTTTTTGCCAGTGGAGCAAAGTGTTTCAGAAGTATCTTCCCATAAGTTATTATTAATTAGCAGGAGGAGTCTAGTAGATAATTATTTCCCCGTCAGGCTGGGGAAAGTCCAGGATTACGCCAACGTGCTCTCTGCTGCCCACGACTGTGGTGATTGCCATCGTACAAAGGTCTATGGCAACATTAGACAGTACAGATAAAACATCCCCCTCAATGGAGCTGTCCTCTTATATCGCCAGGACTTATTACTCTCCCTGACCCTTCACCCGCATAACACACATTTGTCAAAACACGGTAACACACACAAGCACAAAGACGTAGAACTTACGGCCACATGCACTTTAGTTTAAATCCCATTTTAAGAAGAAAGAAAGAAGAAGAAGAATCTCTCTGTGAGAAAATTAGTGTAATTGAGTATAAAACCAGCAAATACGATATAAAGTGCCATTTATAATCCAAACGTAGGGACAAGACATCCCAAAAGTAAAAGATGGGCACTGATGAAAGAAGCATAGGTGGAGGTTTATTGAGTGAAATTAGTCCAGTTCTATGGTGTGTGTGTCAACAAATATCTGGATAAGAATACTGAATGTGTATATTAAAGTAGTGCATGCACTTCTACCTCTAACAAAAATCCCAAAGGTATCTTTTAATCTTAAAAGAGTATTCCCTCTATTTCATAAATAATTCCAGTAAGGTTTCACATCTCTTTAACTAATTAGCTCTATGCAGCAAAAGAAAATCAGCAGTTGTTTCTATAGTAACGCAGATTTGTAAGCCATGGATCGGTTTTATATACACTGATCCTGCAACTCTATTACTTTATGTAGAAAACCACACTGGGTTAAAAAGATATAATGTTTTTTTTTAATTCAATGAACTGCACTTCATACACTTCCAGTCCAAAATGTTCTGTTGTATTTTTCTCAAAAAGGAAAAAACCCAAATGACTTAATAAATCTGAGGATCAGTGACCTCTAATAGTACACAGGCGTTTCGTAATGAGTTTTGAGAGGCAAAATAGGTTGTTGATGACATTAACAATTGCCCTTCACACAGCCGACACTTGTTGCTGACCTGCGCGTTGCTGAGCAGATCTACATTACAGTACTTGCTTTCCGTTAACAGCTACATCTTACACCACCTCGCTCAGCGTTGCCCTACACCCACAGACACCACTGGCCTGGCACACTGCCAAAAGCACCGGGGCAATCAGTCAAACAACCTACATTGTAATACATATTAGTGCCCTGCGTGTGTGTGTAAACCTTTGATTGCCTGTGTGCGTAAATATGCGAAGTAACGGCAATGCTAAAATGTGCAAACCAATGAGACGGAGAAATGCAAATCTCAACCCGAACCGCTGTGGCCCAGCGCATAATGTAACTAAATAATGAGAGTCATCTGAGCCTTTTAACATTCTGGCGATGGTGTCTCTATTTCACCACTCTTTGTATAAACACTCATGGCTTTAATAGCTTGGGCGGCGGCGTGGTTATCGACCCAGTCGGTCGCTTTCCTTCATCCCTAATCAGCAGCAGCAGCGGCGGCCCGAGGCTCAGCATTCCCAACGAGCCTCCACATTTACGTCCTGCAGCAGCGTGTGCAGCGGGTCAGCGGCCACAAGCACCACCGTGCCCGCCGGGCCCAGAACCATCAGACGGGGAGACAACGGCATTACTTGTACCTAATAGCACGGAAGAGATTAGACTCCAACCTACAGATGGATCGCCTTTGTACACTCTGTGACTGTGTGAACCTTTGAAAATGAGGGGCGGAATGTGATGCAGACAGGCACCGTGATGCATGCGGGAATAGTGTATTGATTGATTTTCACCTCTTGACCCGCAGGTTACTACTTTGAAATCCCATCAATTGGAGCCATCAGGATCAACACGCAGGTAAAGCACATGGAATACCGGACGCACATTTTATGAATCCACAAAAACAATGCAACTATAAGCAAGAAGCAGTGTAGCTTCCTTGGTTGCTTTGATGGGAATTGTACAGGTTGTTAATAGGTTTTCCATGACAAACAGGAAAAAGAGGATGCAACAGGAGGAAGTGGCAGAGCTGTAGATGGGCTCATAACAAACAGGGTTGTGGGCTCTCGGACGCCTGTGAAGAAGAGACTTTTGGATCTCCTGCTCTTTTGTGTATCGCGCTCTTTTTGACACAAACGCACACACACGCACGCACATGCACGCACGCCTTCAAGATCCTCACTCACTCGGGGTCCTGCTTCCCCCCCTCATACCTCCCCCATACCTCCCCACCCCCCACCACTGTTGCTTGATGCACTCTGAGCTTCTGAAAGCCGTGGGGATAACCTCATTTCAGCTGCAAAAATTGACTCAGTTGTTGGGAGGTGGGGGAACTACAACCCCTGCCTTCTACCCCCCCTCCTCGGACCCGGTGAGCGATCAGGCCCCGGAATACACTGTGAGCGGTTCCATTAACTCCAGCATATTTATATTCCGAGAACTGCCACTTACTCTAATAGGTTTTCTGAAGGTGGGCGACTTTAGCTCTCTGTAAAGGCCCAGAAGAGACATTATTTAATCACACTCGGCACTTCAACATCACACACTCACCGCGCGGTCTCACTCGACTGAGATGGCAACATTCAAATAACAGATGGACCATAGACGGCAAGGATATTATTATCCAAACCCTCCTGACTTATGCGATTATGTAGGAAGAGTGGAATAGTTTGGGAAAATGAATGTCACTAGACGTAGTTTTGAGACGGAAGTTAAAAGTGACTTGTGTCATCCATTTGGGCCCCTTTGTGTGAGATCTCTCTGTGGAGCAACACTAAAGGCTTTCACTGTGCTGTTTACTCTTTGGAAGAGTCCCCACAGTGGGATCATGGCTGTCACGGTTCCCAGAGAGACAATAGCAATTAATCAAACGCCAGGGACGTCGATGGGGTTTTATATGGCCCCGGTTCCTTTGGACAGCATCTCCAGTTGCTGACTTTTTATGTTTCCTAGATTGTTCTAGCCAGGCGTAAAATTTCCCCTATAACCCGTGAAAAGGTCTGCTGTCATGTCCCTGATGGAATATCTCCCTGTGGCGCGTTAAACCGGATTTTTATTGAGCTAATAATAGAATAGGTTACGCCTGTCAGCACCTCACTGTTCAGGCGATGGGAGTCTAAACTAAATACTGAAGACTGAAATAGCTCTGTGCTTATACAGGACGCCCCTTTTGTCTATTGAGGGTCAGACATTTTCAATGATTATTCAATTTTTTCTGCACAATGGAGAGAAATTTGACCACTAAAGAGCAGGTGCAATTCCACTTATCCTCTGTCTGTATGATCGGAGAATTGCTGTCTCTGGTCTTCAGGACAACTGAAGTGTCTGGAGTGTGCAGCTGCTTTATATGTCACGAGGTCAATCACTCAACAATGGGATCAATTACGCATCACATCTAAAAGGATACATCTCAGCCGTTGTGCGAGGTGGCTCCCGAGAAAGGAAGAATATACTGTACATGATGTACTACCGGTAGACGCAACCCTTCACCTCTATTCACAATAGCTGCGGGACATTCTCCTCGCGCAGGCCGTGACAGCGGGGCCTCTGGGAGAATAGCCTGTTTCACACGTCGCGCCACCGACACCTTTAATGTGTTTTTAATAGCTGCTTCATAACGATGAGAAACGGCCCTGAGTGGTTCAGGACCGGCGGCTTTATGGCTCGGCAGGACCGGGATGCTGCGGCTGCTGCTGCTGGTGGCCCACTGGTTTATGTGGTGACAGAGAGGAGGCCGGTCAGGGTCTCGTAGCTTTATGGCAGATGAAAGTCGGCTCTTCCAGCTCACCGCATCAACACGACAAGCGCTGTAAACGTTTGTTTGATTGTAGGTGTTTGTTGGGTTTGGTCCGAGTCGCACGTGTGTTTTTTGCCCGTCGCAGGAGTACCTGGATGTCCTGGGTCGTCCCATGGTGCTGGCTGGCCCTAAAGCAAAGCAGGTGCAATGGACAAACGTCTACCAGGATGCTCTGGTGAGGCCCGACTTTTTATTTAACTAAGTGACCTTTGCAGAATTCACCAAATATACCTATATGTATTAATGTTAAATTAAGTTGAATTGCAGTTTATCAGCGTTGAAGACAGAATCATACAAGAAGTTCTGGTTTATTTGTTTTTTATTTTTAATAACTCAATTACAAGGATCTTTGTGCTCTATCAGGGTTTGGGCCTCGTCATCACTGGAACGATGCCGGTCTTCAACCTCACCGTTGATCCCGCGAGCTCGCAGGTAAAAGCAGCACTGCCCCAACGAGATACGGAGCTCAAAATAGTTTTATTCTGACACAGCACACAGATTCATACCACAGATCATCCAATATTTTCATTATCATCCTCGTTGTCAAGGCTACGCAAGCTTACGCAAACAGTCGTGTTAATAGCAGGGGTGTCCACCATCATCGGTCAACTGTGATGGCGTCCGGCCAGCTGCTGGTCATCTGGGCAACACCTCCCCCCTGAGGTCAAAACAGACACCGCAGCCACCCGTCTGTAGTATCTGTTATCGCCCGGAGTGCACAGATCCGGCCAGCTTTCAATATCTATACACCGGGAGATTGAAGCAATGATGCAAACCGCCACGAAAATATGCACTAATCAGATCGCACACAAAGTGTAACGATGTCAGAGGCGGCATCGGGGTGTTCTTGGTACTCACAGCTACCGGCCCTCTGCGAGTCTCTGATGCGAGGGCGGTTGTGGATGGAATGCAAATGATTACCTCGTACGTTCTTCCTACAGAACCAGCTCATCCTTGGAGTCATGGGCGTCGATATTGCAATCAACGAAATCAAAAGGAAGACACCCACATACAGAGTGAGTGTGTTGCGCACTCAAGGTCACCCTCACGTCGCCTTGACGTCGCTGAATACTGAGTCACACCTCCATTCACTCTTCTTCTGCACAGCTTGGAGCTAATGGCTACACCTTTGCCATCGACCCGAATGGCTACGTGCTGCTGCATCCCAACCTGCAGCCCAAAGTAGGTCCTGCTAGTCAGTTCATGTTCCTCTAAAGCCACATTTGTATTTTCATTCTCTACTGAATGATGTTTTCTATCCTCCCGCCGCCCCCCTTCTCTGTCTTCCCCTGCTTTCTCGCACTTGTTCAGATCTTTAACTTCAAGGAGTCCGTTACTCTGGACTTTCTGGATGCAGAGCTGGAGGACAGTAACAAAGAGGAGGTAAAAACAACTCGTCTGAAACAAACATCATTTCTTTTGTCTTGTCTGTTTAATATGCGTTCAGTATATTCATTTTATCAGTCAGTTTTCCTCTTTATGTACCTGTTTTCCGTCTCTGCTCTCTCTCTAGATCCGCCGACAGATGATTGATGGCAAACCAGGGCTAAGGAAAATCAAGACGCTCGTTAAGTCAGTTGATGAGGCAAGTAATCAATATATGAGACTCAATCATGATCCACAGCAGCACCTTCCTGAATCGGTGTTGTAATGAACCCCAGTGACTGTTTAGGATCTCTTGTTTCCCTCCAATTACGGGAAGAGAGATGTGATGTGAGGAAAAGCTGAACGTGTTCCATATTTTTCCCTTTGTGGTTTTCGGCAGAGGTACATCGACGAGGCCATGCGTACGTACACGTGGACGCCCGTGGATGGCACAGATTACAGGTCTGTATCAAGTGCTCGACATAAATCCACTTTAAACTGTGAGTAAAGTCCAACGTTGATACGTTTGACTTTGTCAGCTGGTTGCTCATCAGCCAGCAGTGAAGCCGCTGCTATCACACTCTCCGGACAGACTAAACACATCACTGAATAAAGGCAACTTGCTTATTCTCTTTCTGTGTTTGGGTTAAATAATTCATCTCAATCCCCATTTACAAAGCAGTAGTTTAGATTTCTCATTAAAAAAATAAACTTTACTCAGCACAGTACTCCAAGCACCAATTAATTGCATAGTTTATTCATCTCCCAACTTGGTTGAACATTTGAGGTTGCATCGTAATGACATTTCCTCCAGGCAACAATTTGCAGATTACAGTTTATGATATTCAATAGTCCTACAAATGCCTGATGTGTATTTTTTACAACATCTGCTGGCAGCGTGCCCGCTCTCTGCACAATTCTATTTATTTCCACTTAAAGGGAAATTCCATTGTATTTACCCGTCCTCACGTGTTGCTGTTGTGGCTTGCAAAAGTCTAATCTAACTCCAACCAGACATCCAAAGCGCGTCTTTGTCATGCATCCTGCATTTTAGCATTTATGGTCTTTCTCTACTCCTAAAACTGGCGGTTTCTTTAAATCTAAATCTGTCTTATCTCTTTTAGTCTACTGAAGCTGTGGCGCAGTTAGATCCTGTTACTGTCGCACCCTTTTTCACTCCGTTCTATCTGTTCCAATTAATCCTCTTACTTGGTTATATTTTAGCTTTCTGTGTGGCACCACAGATTAAGAGATAGCACACGTATTTCTTTCTCCCTCTGATTTCGGGTTTTGGTAGAACAGTAAATGTTTACTTGCATATATAGGTCAAACTAACAAGCTAAAACAATGACACATTTCAAATTCAAACTGCTTCGTCTCTTTTGTTATAACCCCTTTGAAGCATCACTCGATTTGAACAGGAACACCGTCGGCTATTTGGCCCAAAATATCAAGCACGTTTGATACTCCACATTGGATTTGCTTGGAAACAGTTGGACGCCGGCCTTCTTACGGCGCAGTGGCCTGGAGAACGTTCCTGGCGTTCACTCTCACAGTTTGATTTATGGCAATCGCTCGCTCACTGCTAATAAATGAAACGGACTTTCAACAGCTCGTACGCACTGCGTATGCGTTTGTCGCGTCACTACCAGAGTCGTGTTTCTTTCCTCATTTCTTCCGGCCTCTAAAAAAAAAAAGGCTGTTCATTAATTTACATCTTCACAAAACTTTTGGAAAGACTTGATTTGTTTTTTTTAGCAGTCTTCCTCTTCACAACCTTTTGCCAGTACAAAGTTGTGCTTTCCTGCACATTACCGTCACCCGACAACCGATAGAGGAGTGTGAAGCGTTCAGAACCCCGTATGATGAAAACACTCCTCCATCCCGGTGTCACCACATGAGAGAAGCTACGACACCGTTTGCAGGGACCTTTAAACGGCCTGTTGTTGAGCGAGCCTGCCTGTGTGTGTGTTTGTATTTCGGGGGTCCGATGTGCATCCGCATCGCGTTCTTGATCTTCTGTGTCTGCTTCGTTACCCTCAGTCTAGGCTTGGTACTGCCCACATATTCTGAGAACCACATCAAGGCAAACCTGAGTGACCAGATCCTTCAGGTGCAGTGTAAGTACCAGGGAATCCGCAGCATCCTTCTCTCTCTCTCTCTCTCTCTCTCTCTCTCTCTCTCTCTCCACGCTTCCCCTCCTCGCTCTCTCTTTCTCTCTCTCTCTCTCTCTCTCTCTCTCTGTCTCTCTCCCCCTCTCCCAAATATGACCGTATGCTCTTATCTAGTCCTTTGACCCGGGTGTCCAACGTCATCATAGGGAGCGTCCGAGCAGAGTGGCCCCGCCCCTCTGTCCCCCTTCTTGCCCCTCTCTGAGCTGTACAGTAGGCAAGACTTTACCCGAGTCCCCCGACTCCTCTACTGCCCCCCCGTCCCCTCCTGTCTTCATGCTGTGCTGTAAAATGGTGATGTTTTTTCTTCACACTGGCTGAAGAAAAAAATAGCTGAACTGACAGAAAGGTGAAAGCTGTGGTTTTACTGTATTACTCAGGTGAAAATAATGGTGACTTTTGTGCTATTATTTTTTTTGCCAAATGCTCTCGCCTCTTCTCCACCAAGTAATGATTCTGAAGCATCTGTGTTCAAAGTATTTGATGTTCTGGAAAAAAAAAAAACTGTGAAAACATGCATGCTTTTCACTTGAGTTTTATCATTTTGGGGAATTTTCCTTCTGTTATGTGTGTCATTTATTTTCAAATTTGATTTGTGTACGTGTTTGATTGTGTGAGATGTTTCTCAGCTTTGGAATCATTCAGTGTATATAAACTCCCACACGCCTGGGACACGGGCTTGTCTAACGTGGGAGTTTGGGTTTTTGTGGGTCTGGATGGGGACACTTGTTGTCTCTCTCATTCTTTCTTTGTCCAGACCCTGTTACTCCCTTATTTTCCTGTTTCATTTGAGTTTTTGTTTATGTTTCACCATATTTATCCCTCACAACTGGTTTTGTCGTTACTTTTTTCTTCCCTGGATTTCCTTTTTTTTTTTTTTTTACCTTTCTTTCTTCCGTTGGTTTTACGTTTCCTCGTTTGCTCTCGCAAATAAGATGTTTGCTCTTCATTTCTTTTTCTCTCTTGTCTTGTTTGACCTAAATTAGTTTCTTTCTTTCAAGAAAACAATATTTTTATTCAAGCAGTAATTGAATAAAATATTGTCTGTGATCCCCCCCTTCCTACCCGACCCCCTGTTTCTTTTCTTGCTCACTCCTTCTCTGATGGATCCACACAGTGCCATACACCAAGGGCAAGTATACTCCATATTGGTCCACGTTCCTTCCTTTACTTCCTACTCCCTACCGCTGCCTCCTCCCCAAACCTCTCGTCCTTAACCTTTTCCTGCTGCTCCCCCCTCCCCCTCCCCCTCCTCCTCCTACCCCAGCCTGCTTGCCTCTGTTCCTGCTCGTCTTGCCTTCAGGATTTCCTCTTTTTCCTCCTCTTTCTTCTTTTATCCCTCCTTCTTCTCTTCACCCTCTTGCTGCAGCTCAGATCTCACCTCTCTCACGATGGCTCCTCTGGTCCCCGACCTCCCCCTCCTCCCCCACGTACTCGCTGCTTCGGAAGCAAAATTAAAAAAAGAAACTACTGTACCCAAGGAAGATAAATATTCATGTGCTCTGTTAAAACCTGTCTTTTGTCCCTCCCCCTAATGCTTTTCCTCCCGTGGATATCTCCGAATGGGTTGTGTCTGCCTCCTCTCTCTCTCTCTCTCTCTCTCTCTCTCTCTCTCTCTCTCTCCGTCTGTTTCAATTTACACTTCTTTCATTTTCTTTGCCCATATTTCTTTCTTTTCCTCGTCCCCTTCCTCTGTTTCTCTTTCTCCTCTCTGCCTCTCTCTCTCTTACTTTCTTCTATATTTTTTCTTACAGTGTCAATAGTTAAAAATGTCTTTAATTATCACGCTAGAACTCCGTCGTTGACCGATCTTTAACTATATTTGTATTTTTTTAAACGCCCTCTTCTTTTGCCTTAATAGTAAAATATTTTTTATTGTGTCATTAGAAAGTGAAACACCGTAAGCTGATATATTAGCTTCTAAATCTGAGCCACGATAGTGTCAGCTCACGCTTGGTACTCAACTGCTATTTATTTAAAGTAGAGTAAAGTGGTCTCAACATCTGTCCTATCCATCCTCTATATCAAAAGTAACGTTTGTTAGCCACCGTAGTTTCCCGTCGTACACTGTCGCCGGAGATGCCGCAGCCTGCGGACGGACCCTTCAGGGCCGAGCTGCGTCCCGTCCTCCCAGGTCCTCCCGTGTCGCCAGGTTGTCAGGGTGCCGCTCGGCGCAGCGTCCGGCTCCTGTGTCGTCCCCGTGTCCTCCTCCCTGTCTCCATCAGCTTGTCTCCCTCCCTCCTCACCCCTCAGACTGCCAGGGGGCCACGGCATGACGCTTCCTCAGTAAAAAAAAACCTTGACCCCGGATGTGCACGGCGTTGTGGGCGGAAAACTACCTGGGCACTCTATTTTAGCTTTGAAAATTGCATTCCTCTGCTGTACACAGTGACGGGTCTTTACATAACGAGAGAATCACACGTTGGATTCGTCGCAGAATCGGCTGTTTTAGGGTTCAGTGATGGTTGATATTTCGGGTCTTGGTCCGTGATAGATAAAATGAAGTTGCCCTTTGACATGCCCTTCACAATGCAATGCACTTCCTATGATTATGTGTCTCTCTGAGCCCTCCGCCCTGCCAGTCTGAGGGGTGACCACTTCCATCAGGACCTTCACCCACCTCCCCTCGCAATAGTTGGCCATGTTGATGCCTGCCTGATCTAAAAAAAAAAAAATTTAAAAAAAGCACTCATTATGGATGATCTGTCTGAGAACTTGCTTCCTGACTCATCACAACTTGCAAGTCAGTTCTCGGACATCCAAAACGCGTTTGATTGAAACCAAATGAATCACAAAATGGGTCATCGCAAAGTGATAAACATTAAAAAACAAATTTTGTATGAGTCCATTCCATTTAGATTCAGGTTCTATTTTGGGCACCACATTAGCTAACGCCAGTCTTCCCATGATACCCACGTGTTGCCATGGTAAACTCCCTTCTGCGTCCCTGCACCTCTGAAGAACAGCTGCTGTTTACCCACAACTCCCCACTGCCCCCCGCGCACTGCCCTTCCCCGATAATCTTCCCCTTTCTGTTGCAGATTTTGAATCACTGCTGCCAAACAGTTTTGAGTCTGAAGGCCATGTATTCATTGCTCCCAGGTAGCCGTGTGTGTTGAATGCGTGCTGTGGTTGACGGTCATCGGCGCTTGGTGTTGTCTTTTCATCTGCACTGCACTCGTAGCGTTTTGTTGGCTCCACGTTCAGCCTGTTTTATTCATTCCTTGATCATTTTCAGTTGTGTGTTAACTCATTGCTACACATTTGAGGAAAATATAGAAATAATCTACCCTCATGATATAATCATGTTTGTTTTGTATTTACCTTTTCTCTTGGTTATTCACAATCAAATACTGAAGCCACGTTCAATCTTCTTTGCATGCTGCTATTAAGTTGTTGTATATTTGTATTACAGTGATACATTTAGTGGTTATTAGTTAGGTTGTGCAACAAAATTTATTTGGGATATTTTGGACGCTACTGACACACATAAAAGAAAAGATCGTCTCTGCTTGTGCCGTTCTGGTATCAAACTCTCATGGCCTCCAGCTGCAACCTGCAACCTCTACAGCACATGAATAAAAATAAGCCCTTCATTGCGACGCCCGCATGCGGCAGTCAAATCCACCTCCTGTATTCTTCTGGATTTAAACTCTAAGAAACGCATGCTGCACCTGTTGCATCCCTGCTTTTTACTGCGTGTCCCTGTTATGAAGGAAACCTGTTGTCTACACATTACTGATTTTTAGATTATTTCTCTGAGTTAAAACGCCTCGTCTGTTCCTCAGGGAATACTGCAATGACCTCGAACTGTCCAACAACAACACTGAGTTCCTGCTCAACTTCATTGCTCTGATGGAGAAGGTGACACCGGACTCCAAACAATGTGAGTTTCGTTTCTTTCCACTCCAATGAATTAGTTCATTCAAGATTGAATAGTATTACATTTTTTCTCTCACAAAAAATCCATTGAAGACCCAAAACAAACCCTTTATTTACTCTTTCTGTACCGAATTGCCGAATGTTAAACTTGGGTGAAAAATCGAATGCCTTCATATTCCACAACAATGAAAAGCATTTTCTGGTTTATTTGGTTTTGACCAAACGTGGACCGATTTACACCCTTTCTAAACATCTGTACCTGCCCTTCAGGCGACAATCTGCTCCTTCACAACCTCATTCTGGACACCGGCATCATCCGGCAGCTCGTGGAGAAAGTGTGGAAGAATAAAGACTGAACACGTGAGTATCATTAAGACCACAATTGTAGATTTTACTCTGAATACAATTTAATTGCATTGTCTTCTTTTGTAGATATGGCTCCCTGGCTGTTTCTGCTGCATCGGACGGAGGAGTAACTAGAGTGTCTCCGAACAAGTAAGTGCAGTCTTACGTTTTTATTCTCTTGTGACGTAGTGAGTTTAACCAAAAGCTCTAAATGTAGCGGCAGGCACATTGCACATCGGAGATCTACAGCTGCAGTGTGTGTGTGTGTGTGTGTGTGTGTGTGTGTCTGCTCTTGGATCTCAGGGCTGCAGAGACCTGGGAGGAAGACCCCGAGCCGTTTAATGCCAGCTACTACCGCCGCAGTCTCGACAACAAGGGCTACATCTTCCGAGCGCCTTATCGCACAGGTGGATGACGCTCACTTGGTCCTGGATTAAATATCTCACAGCGAGCCTCATAATGTGTCTCTGTTTCTAACCCCCCCGGCCCCCTACTGCCCTCTCCGGCGGGTTTATTTTATTTTGTTTTCCTCTTGAAGCCCGGGACGAGCTGCTGAACCCGGAGAACGACACCATAGGGATCCTGGTCAGCACGGCTGTGGAATTCACAGTGGGAGGAAAGACCATCAAACCCGCAGGTGGGTTCAACTTCAATAAAGATAAATCCTTAATGACAGGTGTGAGAAAAGACATTTTTTTAGAGCAAGGAAGAAACATAATCGTGGTCACTTTGTGCGAAACGTGTTTATGCTCTGCGTTCATTTTGGGGACATTTTGTTGTGTTCTCTGGTTGTTAGTCCGTGCGGATTTGGCATAAACGTCCACTTAAGGGTGGACTGATTACATTTTGGACGTCAAAGGTCACTGTGAACTGACAAAACACGTTTTTGTTCCACGTCTCAATTAAATGAGCTAATTCTGACAATTTCACACAAATTATTCATCTTAGTGGTTATGATTACGAATGACATTTTGGGAACACACGGGTCTAATGTGCGACATCACTGGTTAGTTAAGGCATCCGCATGTATTCCAGTTTATTTGTCCTTTAAATCTTTTAGTGGTCGGAGTGAAACTAGATCTTGAAGCCTGGACGGATAAATTTAAGATTCTTGCGAGCAACCACACGGACAACCATCAGGGCTCAAATACGGTAATAAGTTAAACACAGAAAGTCCTTTTACATTTATGTCTGGAACGTCCAGCTGCTAACTCAGTGCTTTCTGCTTGACAGTGTGGACCAAACAGGGGCTGTGAAATGGACTGTGAAGCCAACAGTGAGGTAAATATTTCTGCTTCCTGTATTCAGCTCAAGCTTCTTCTTCTTCTTCTTGTGTCTAACAGCTGCTTCTGTGTGCAGGATCTCCTGTGTTATTTGATAGACGATGGTGGATTCCTGATCATGTCTAATCAGAAGGACGACTGGAACAAGGTGCAGTTGATTCATTCATTTTGCCACTTCACCACATTTCCTTTTCTATCCTTGACGTGAGTTTAACCAATGGTTATGTTTTGTTTCCCACAGGTGGGCATGTTCTTCAGTGACGTCGATCCCTACTTGATGTACGCACTCTACAACAACTCCTTCTACAACCGCAAGCAGTCGTTTGACTACCAGTCGGTGTGCGAACGGATGCCCAACAGTGAAGCTGGAGCTGCTCCCCGAGCAGTGTTTGTGGTGAGAACGTAAATGATTATGTGCATGAGTACGATACTTGGAATTCAGGGCCAATAGTGATAATGGGTTTTTCATTTGAATATGCATGTAAACCGGTTGATATGATATGATATTTGTTTTGTTTCCTCTGTTCATCTGCAGCCCACAGTGGCCGATTTTGTGAACGTGGCTTGGTGGACCTCAGCAGCTGCATGGTGAGAGCCCTCAAGCTCCAAAAACACAATTCTAACATACAGTACACTTTAAATATGTACATGTACTGTGATGGATCTTCCTAGTAAACACTGCCACATGCAAATCATACGCAAAATACATCAGAAAAGTTTCACTGAGCCCCATCTCCTATTTCCACAGGTCCTTGTTCCAACAGTTTATATATGGACTGGCTTATCACAGCTGGTTTGTCAGAGGTAGGTGCAAACTTGACAGTAATTCAAATGTTATTTCGCTGTTTTACACGTCTGCACGTAAAGTTTAAAGGAAAACTTTGAAGAGATGAAGTAGTGAGGTTTTACAGCTTATCCCATAATTTCCCCCCACGTTCATCTTTGTGACCCAACATTAGAAGCACATCTAATAAACCAACCGAACTGCCGAGTGTAACTCTTTTTGTCTGTTCGTGTTCGGGTGACGTTGCAGAGGAGGTCGATGCAGAAGGAATCGACTCCAAGGAGCGGAGTTGTGTAATGATTCAGACCCAGTACTACCTGAGTAATCTCAGCAGCTCCTACAACATACTGCAAGACTGTGGCAACTGCTCCAGGTCTGTGCACACGATGAAACACACACACTTAAACACACATGCGGATGCTCACACGCGCTCTCCACAAAGAACGGCACTGTGGCTGAGGCACAAGATGGATTCCTCTTTCCGTCTGAGCTAATAAACTCTGCTGGTGATTAAACCGCATCGGCTTTAATGGAACGGTCACATCATCGGCTAAATGAGCCTTACAATACAGTCTCATGAATCCCGCTGATCCATTAGCAAATGAGGCTGTGATGTAAGCGAGCAGAGGGGGGCTGTTGACTGACTTGCCTCTCTCTCTCTCTCTCTCTGTCTGTCTGTCTCTCTCTCTCTTTGCAGGCTGATTCACGCCAAGAAGATTAACAACACCAACTTGCTGTTTGTGGTGGCTGAGAAGATGCCATGCAACACCTGCGAGATAGAGAAGCTCTCGCAGGAGGAGGAGGAGTGTATCCTTTTTCACATCGTATACCAGCTGGCAGAGGAGAAGACAAACCAGATTAACAAAGACAAAAATAGATTTATCAGTTGTTTTTTTTAACATAATAGCGTACATTATTTCCAGTTATTTAGAATATGTTGGACCATATAAGGAGTTGGAATGTGGGCGGATGATGGAACATTGCTAAAGAAATAATTCAAAGGATTCTTTTATTTTCCTTTAGTTAAAAAACGTTCAGTCAAGGAAGATAATCCGTGTGAAGACGTAACGGTGGCGCGCTATCGGAAAGGACCTTCCACCTGCTTCGACAACAACATCTCCGTAAGAGTTTCAGACACCATAGCAACACGCACATTGATTTTATGTTTCATGTTCAGTAACTGAAGATCGGAACTGAAAGTTAAGATAATACAGATTAATTTAAACAAAACAGTGGAAAACAGTAAAGTGCTTCGATGATCAGGGGAGGGTTTTAAAATAAATTTGGCAAACACGAAATGTACATTGTGAGGTTTAGCATTAACATACAGAAACGCAGCATGAGAAATACATAATTACATAATTCAGTTTACATTCAACTTCTATAATCCACTATAATTCTTGTGTTATTTGAGGCTAGATGTCTTCTCACGGCCACGTGTCTCACTGTGCAGGAGAACACATCCGACTGTGGACGGGGACACTCCTTCCGTCCGTCCCTCTACACCTTACTGCTCATCCAGCTGTTTCTGCTTTATCCAGCCGTCAGCCCCCACCGTCCCTCTCCGCTGCATTAATTCAACTCAACTTATCCTCCGCTTAGCCCCCCCGACCGACCCCCTCCTGTCTCCCCCCCCTCCCACCTCCACGCCCCCGTGATATACTCATAGGTAATAATGGGGACTTCCCTTCTCGGCAAATTGGAAGCCCTGAGTGCCGCGTCACCCAGCTCGCTTCAGTTCCACGTCTCTTGGCGACAACTGCCGGACGTTTTTTGGCGTCTTGGGCCAGTCGTCCTTCATCCGCGAGCTCTGCTGGACCACCCGGATCATCGGAGGCAACGTCAGAAGAGAGAAAGCACCCTTGCCCCAGCCCCTCCCCCTTAATGACCCCCCCCCCCCCCCCGACCAACCCCCGACCATGCAGAGAAGGGAGGGCAGAGAGGACGGGCCGATGTCCTCGCCGCAGACCTCCCGTCCTCCGCCACAGACTGCAGGGTTGAGAATGTCTTTTCTGCCTTCGGTCAGACAGATGCTGGGACTCGTCTCTTTTCTTCTCTCCTTCCTTTCAGAGTCTCATCGCTGTGTCATTGTCCTCTGGTAAGAGGCGGTGGACCATTTAGCCACCATAAAAGAAAATAACAGAAAAGGTATCAAGCTGTCAAGGATACAACATGTCAAGTATTATTGCCGGAGTGATGAATATTCCAGACAAATGGTGTATGTAGGTTTAATCTGAAGAGGAATTCGTAAGGTGTTTATCCAAAAAGACATTAATTTATTCATGCACTATATCTACTTGCCAAAATGAGATAGACTTCTATGTGGTCTTATTTTTTATAGCCAAAACACAAGGAGGAAATGGCTTCTGATTTAGGTTTAGAATAAACCTTGAGAGGATGAGGAGAAACCCAGAAACTGAAAGCAGATACATTCTGTGCAGCGCCTAATTACAGATTAAATCTTTTAAAAGACGTCCACTGCGGATTATGGTAATGACACGATGATAATTGCATTTTTTGAAGTATTTCTTTTCTCATATTACCAATTTAAGGCTTACACACTAATGACAGCTGTAAAATATTGATCGGTATTTGGGGACTGCAGATTTGCAACATCATTGATGTGTATTATTCTCAATCAACCATTCTGACCTCTGGTTTTGGAATGATGTAAAAAAAAAAAAAGAAGAAAGAGAAATCGCTTATAGGAAAGCTCACCTCTGCCAATCGTCACGAGGCTTCTCCGGTAGCTTCTACTAACGATCACGATTAGTATTTATGTGCTTCACATAAATGGTCGTACAAAGACGGCCTTGTGACCGCTGGTCAGTGGTACTGGATGGGCCGTTTCTTTTATTTGTGGGGCTTCTATTACCTTCGACTGATGCTGTTCAACGATCAAAAACCATTCGCTGCTGGGGGGGATTCGGGCTTGTCAACATTTTCCAACAAAAGTGCAGAAGAGGCAACTAAACACGGTGATCGCGTACAGTAGTAGCCTGGTTGTAATCCGTCGCAGTTCATCATTTGATCCTTAACGATGTTTAGGAGCCGCTCTGTCTCATAGTGCCTTGATGCACTTTGTTTTGGATCATATTGGCTGTATAAGAGTAGAGCTACCCTATAGTACCTTTATAACGCGGCCACGTTTGAGGAGCTTGTGAAAACTGAATCCGTCAGCTATAGAAGTAGCTTCCCACGCGGAGCCATCGCGCCAACCTTCTCTCTTTGCTTAATGTATTCGCCCCCCCGCCCCCCCGCCCCCGACTGTGGTTGCGCCTGACTGCCATCGTATGGAGTTACTATACCGTTCCTTTACGAAGCCATGTATAGAGCTATGATACACTATCCGTATACAGCAACTGGCCATAGAGCGTTTTTAGGGCCACCTTGACTGCTATAGTTCTGCCTGATTCGTATGTGTTTGTGTGTGGATGTGTGCGTGCGTGTGTGTGTGTGTGTGTGTGTTAGTTTGCGTTGAAAACCCTCAAAGGGAATGTCTTTAAAAATGAGAAGTGGAGTGTATGGGGGACGACAGTTGTGGTAGCATAGCTGTTTTTCCTGTTCCTCTATTGCAACGGACAAAAAAATAAAATAAACCCCAGTGTTGTGGGGAAGAAAAAAAAAAAAAAAAGGATTTTACTGAAACAAACAGAATCCATCTTTGAACCATCAGTCTGCCTAAATATTAATCTTAGAGAGCAGAGGTGTCCAAAAGAATGTGTAGTTCATCAGTGTTTTTGCTTCAAATGCAACATAGTTAACAAAGCCTCTCTAAATGCCTTAGTGTTACACAGTACGGAGCGCCGACACGTTTCCCTCCCTCATGTTCACTCACACAAATAGATCCTCCAAAACATTCACTCCCCGGGGTTTTCTTGGTATTCCGCAGTAAGTATAGTGAGCTCTAATTTTGTATTTTTGCGTCTTGAAATGGTTCGTTATTGATTGATGCCTGATTGATGTTTTGATTAAATGCTTGAAAGCCAAGTGGGAGTTTGAAAAATTCAAAAAGCCTCCGACCTTCAATGTTCACACCCACCCGAAACCTCGCCGCACTGCTCCGGAGGGACGACTCGCGCCACAATCTGAACTCTGTACAGTTGTTGGTTCTATTTGATGTGACAAACATGCTGGCGCAGTTGACTGCAGCACATCTGACTCAGAGACACAAAAGACTGTTTAAAAAAAAAAAAAGGTGTATTTCCAATTTGGCTTCTTTCAGTGTTCAGTCATCGGATGCCGGATGCAGTTTTGCTTTTCCGGCGTTTTTTGTCTCCGTCCTGTGCCATTGGATTCCGTCTGTATTTCCCCATTTCCACTGTCTGTAAATTGAGTGCTACACGTGCCCGTGGAAATGTACCCCCCCCTGCAACTTCCTCTCTTTACCCGGTTCCGTACGCTTACAGTCCTCACACACACAAACCAAGTATGTAGGCCTACAGTTATTTTCCGACATTATGCACCAACACGCCTACAAGCAAACGTATTAATGACATAATGTCAATCACCAGGCAAAGGTAGGCCAAGGACATCGCTCCCCAGGTGGGGTTTTTTAGGGGGGGGGGGGAGGCGGGAATATCAGAGGCAAGCTGAGGGAGTGCGTCTCCACAGAGCAGGCCGGTCCCGTCCAACGGCAGCGGCCATGGAGAAATCATGCAGCGGCGTCCGTGTGTGCGTCCCGGCAGAGAAAAAAACAAACATATTCCGAAGGGGGTCTCACCCTCTGATTTTCTGTGGTTTGACAAATTTACATTTGCCAAAAGGAAAAAGAAGAAAAAAAAAATAATTAGAGAATTGGACGAGCTTGGAGACGATGAGAGGGAGGAGTTTGGCTTCAGGAAAGGAGCCTGAAATAAGCGTGGTGGTTTTCATGAAGCCTCTCGCCGCCCTCCCGCCCCTCGCTGCCTCTGTGTTGGTGCGTCTCTGTGGGAAAGACACGTGCGTGTGTGATCCTGTAGTCTGTAGTCTGGTGCAATGTTTGAAAAATGTGTTTAAAAAATAAAAAATAACTGCAACATTTAGAGAGAAAAAAAGAAGAAAAAAAAGTTAAATCAGTCAAATTATCCGTGAAGTTATAAAAATATAGGAATACAGCACTGTTGATAAGTTTGAGATCTGAAGTCAAAACGTTTTGAATTTATTTTCTTTTTTATTTCTTGTTTGTGTGTGAGTGTGAATGTACGTGTGCTTGGAAGATTTAGCTCCCTCTTTTCTGGACTCTGGTCCGTGTCGCTCCATTCTTTTTTATGAAGCTAAAAAAAAAAAAAAAAAAAAAGAAGAGGGCAAATTTGTAAAATATTGTGTCTGTGACTCCTTGTAAAATATTTTCAAATTGTTTATTACAGAGAATCAGTTATTAAATAATGTTCATATTTTTCACTTCATTTCAGCGTGTGGTGTTCTGTCTTTTTGTTTAGACACAGGTGGAGATTAATTTACTTTCTGGTTACATTGAGAATACATATATAGTAAATATTTGATTGAATAAATATTTTATTGCAACATTCATTTTGATTATAATACAAAATAGTTTGTTAGATTTTATAGTATAAAGGAAAAGTTGAAGATCTGGAAAACCCACTTATCAAGAAGGCTCTCGTGTTCAGGGGAGTTTCAATTTCTGATGAAAGGACTTAAGTTTCTTCAGATATTCCTACCAGAACTAAACACGACTCATATCTCATGTCTATCATTTTAAATGTGAGACTGCTATGTTGCCTAGATTAAAACCAACTCCAATTCATTTTTTTCTCATCCAACTCAGCAAAATTAATAAGCATATTTCTCACGATATCTTTGAAAGTTAAAGCCTCATTTCTCACCCTCTTAGCTTTATTGCTTAAAAGAAAGGGAGTAAAAATCAGGTAAATAGTTGTTTTTGTGTGGCTCCTGTGACTCATTTATGTGTGACTGTCGGGTGTCCCTCCACTGCTGCACAGCGTGTCGAGGAAGCCGGTGAGCGCTCGGTGCCAAGTGTCCGGGTCGTCCAGGTAACACGGGTGACCGGCTCCTTTCATCACCACCACGCTGTGATTGGCCAGATTTCTCAGGTTGTTCAGCGACCGCTCTGCCAGCTGCGTGTCCTGGTCACCGTAGACGATGAGCGACGGCACCTGGAGAAGAGACGGGACACAAAAGCACACACGAATGTAAGAGACCTTTGTGACGACACATTTTCTGAGTCCTTCCTCTCCAGGGTTTTTTTCTAAACCCGTGACTAAAGGGATTTTTTAGTTGTCCTCTATTTTACCTCAAACACATTCAAACAGGTGTCATAAAAAGATAGGACAGCTTTTTTATTTAGTGTGACTAATAAATAAAAGTATATAAAATCGTAGTTGGTCAGACCTTAATAGGTTTTATCAGCTGCAGAGAAAGAATTCAGACCGCAGACACACAATATAAAACCACTCCATTACAAAGTAAAAGTCCTGCATTGAAAGGGACCATCCAAATATCTAGTTACATATTTACAAAAAGTTGCAGGACACAGATTAAACAAAGACTGAAGCAACAGCGGCCGAGTTACCCCCAAACAGTCAAGGTTCAAACTTCTCTCTCTAGCGTTTCTGACGCTTTTTGTGTGTAAACGCCTCGTGTTGCTGCATCTCCTCCACTCTATAGTGGACGTGGAAACCTCCGCCTTCTGATGGCAATCGCATCACATTGGAGGTGTTAAAGCAACATATCATGACCACGCCAACACGAGGGTTAAAGTTGTGGTGGAAAATAATCTTTTTAACCTCCTTGTGAAATAACGATGTATAAACTATTTTATTAAACCGGTATTTTGAGAATAATTCCGCACCACAGAGGGTTCGGAGCTCTAACAAGAAGTCCAAAGATTAAGAGTCTTCTGCAAATGATCTCTTTATTTTTGTCTCCACATCTCACTTTGTTGTCACGTCACTGCTTTTCTGCTGTGCTATTTTAACCCAAATCACGGAACACATTGAAGCATTTGGAGGGGAGCTATAACTCTGCAACAAACACGTCTCCTTTCTGGATAATCCGCCTTCACTCGCCGTTTGAGGAACCTTTGGTGAATTGTTGGGAGCGGGATGAAAGCCATGTGCGAACGTCACATCTGCTCCTCTTACACGCGTAAAACGGACAGAAGACGGTGCCGTCCTCGAAAAAAGAAACCAAATGAAGGTCACGGCGGTCGTCTAGAGTAGCACCGTACACGCGGACTGTACCTTTACGCCGCGGTACTGCTCTGCTGTGAAGTTCTCGGTGCAGATGGGAGCCACGGGCACGTAGGCGCGTACTAGGGCCGGGTGCTGGAGGACGAAGGGGAGCGAGTACATCCCGCTGAGGGACGGGCTGATCACCACCACCGGGCTCAGGCTCAGCCGCTCGCACACCTCGCGCAGGAAGCCCGCGGGGGCCAGCTGACCAACGGCCGCCGGGGCCTCGGCTGAGCCCGAGCGGCCGAGGCCTGTGGGGGGAGAGAGAGAGAGAGCGAGCGAGAGAGAGAATGGACAGCAAAGTGAAGAAGGCGAAAGACAGGAAGAAGACAAGGGCAGCAGGTTTTCACGTTCATCGGATACCGGAACATTTAGAACAGATGGGGTTTTTTTTAAACTGTGAAGGCAAAGACGCTGCATGAAGCGAAGGAGAAAAGTTCACTCTTGTACAGAACTTTTACTCTTCTGTACTCTCTGTACCTGGCAGGTCGATGGCGACCGCGCGGCACCCGGCTTTGGCGAGAGTCTCCAGAGTGCCGATGTTGAGCCAGTTTTCTGAGGAGAAACGGATCCCGTGAAGGAGTAGAACCGACAGCCTGGCTTCCCCTTGTGTGGGTTCGCTCTGTCGGTAGAAGAGTGGCGCTTTGCAGCCCTCCACGTGCACACTCCCCTCCGTCATCCTCACAGCTGACATGCTGAACGGGAGAGAACAACAGACGTTTAGCTTCACAGTGTTATTATGGTAAAAGAATAAATTGAGCATCAAATAAACCCAAAAGTACGAGGAAAAACAATACTCATTATGCAGAATGATCCATTTCAGAATGATATTTAATGTGTGTAATTACTCTATGCACTGCTGGGTATTTAGATCTATACAACATTACATAGAAATGTATGAATTGATGACATATTAATAGTTTTAATCAGCAAAGCACCGATAAATGTAGTGCAGTAGGTGTATGAAATAGCATAACATGGAAGTAAAGTAGTAAAGTAAATGCACTTGGTTACATTCTAGCAGCGGTTGTGTTAATATAAAATATGGCTTTTTTTAAAATGCATGGCATGGCTATTGAACACTTGTACAACAACATAGTGGGTAATAAAGCTTCACGGAATACTGCAAAGTTAACCTGTTGAATATGAGCACAAGTACTTCCATTTGACATGTAGTACAAAGTACTTTAGGACTGTACTCGACAACAACGCCTTGAAAAGTCTCAGCTGTCAATAACACAGCAGACAACATCTGGCTTCTCACGTGTTGCGTTCAGGTCGCGTTCAGGACGCAGAGCTTGCGGACAAGTTTAAAGATTCTGATCAAAGTCCAGATGAGATCATTTCGATTTGTATTATCGAGCTCGCGCTCAGCACTTCATCGCGAACACGACGGGAAAACGATCCGCATTGTTGTTGTTTGTTGTTTACCTGACAGCCTGCGGCAGTGAACCGATTTACCCGCAAAGAGAAGCTGCTTCGGTCTGTAATCAGCTGCGTTTTCTCCTTAGACACCGGAAAACAGGAAGGGGGGAAAAAAGCTGTGGAAGATTATTCTACTGACGTCTAGTGTTTGTAAAGAGAATTGATTTTGTTCATACAGCAATTTAAAAAAAAAACATTTCTGTATTTCAAAATATGTGGTTTTGTCATCGGTGACATGTGGTCGGGGGAAATAAAGCGCGTGTCATAAGAAGAAAACATGCTACTCGCCATTAATGATTAATACCGAGTATTGATTGGATGTGTTTGGGGGATTAGGGCCTCTGTTTGAGTAAGAGTCCACTGTGGGTGTTTGTGATTAAGTCACTGTTATATATTTTCCAGGATTAAGACCCTGCTGGACTTTTGGGGGGCAGATCGACTCGTTTTTGGACGTTGACTCTTCAGTAAATACTTAAAGGAAAAGATCTCAATCTGACTTCCGTCCAGTGGTATCAACCTTTTATCGTCCGCAGGCCGCAGACAATGCAGCTGTTGCTGCTCCACATTCTCCTCACAGTCGGACTGGCTGCTGGTAAGAAAGTCTTATGATCCTCAGTTGTGCTTTTTAAAATGTCTGTGAAGAAATGTGTAACAAAACAAAAAAAGTGTTCCCGTTCTTAGCTCGATATTTTTGATGGTACTCTTTATTATTATATAATGCATTTGAATGAGTGCCAGTGGTGTGAGTAAACGCTCTGCCGTTACTGTGTATTCAAAGTACTTTGAAATGTAAAAGTACTCATTCCGCAGAAAAGTGGTCCATGTCATTTTTTAAATATTGAATAAGATGCTGTTTTAGGATTCGCATTACTACGTGTACAGATGTTTTAACGTCTTTGTATACTAATGAATCATAATCATAAGAGTCGCTGTCCTGTGAACCACTACCCATAAAAAACTTTTTGGATGACGCATTTTCCAGCTGATCCAAGATGCTTTTCGACTATTTGATTTATCTTCAGAAGAAGGAGGATTTTCTTTACACCGCAGTTCACTCTTCAGATTATCCGATTTTGTGTTATAAAAAACTATAAAGCGAGAAAAGAAACATTTCATTTCAGCTGTCAGATGAAATGTAGGGAAATAGAGATAAAAGTACAATGAATTCCAGATGTTATATATAAAGCAACAAATATAAATACCTCAGTAGTACAAGTACCTCAAATTTGTATTTTTGTATTGTGCCTTAGTAAATAAACACTGTTGAAGTTCACTACTGTAAATTACTAATTGGTATTTAGTTGTATGTGTTGTCACAAGGAGTATAACTTTCCTATGGTATCTATATATATATATATATATATATTAGGATTGATTTCACAGTGAGGATCTGTTTGGTGTGTGAGGGTGAGAAAACTAATGTGTAAGCTATTAAAGTGTATTTTTGTGAGCAACATGATTATTGCGTCATACATTTTGGCACTAGGTGAATGCACACCAGCGGCACCAATAGAACTAGTAGTATTGGTGGTTGTCGGCTATAGTAACCAGTCGAGTAGTTGCTGTTCAAAGCTTTTTCTGGCCTCTTTTCTCACAAACCTGTAGTGTCTTGGTCCGAAAGGTTATGTATATGCAGCTGGTACCGGTGGGCAGACCCACTGCAGCTCAAACCTGTATTTGATACATCAAGATACACTCCTGCCAGACGCATTTCTTTTTGTTTTTTTTGTTTCATTGTGCACAAACAGGCTACCGAAGTCCCCTGAATGACTTCCAGCGCTCAGAGGGCCGAGAGCTGGTTCCCACCTCCTGGAACTCAGCTCGAGTGTTGCTGTTACCGGGTCTGAACCTGGAGGACTGTGCGACCCGCTGCGCTCAGTCTCTGGACTGCAGGTATCCATCCTCTACTTTACCGCAGCAGGTCGTGAGCATTGATAGGCAACCTAGTTCTCACAGCGGGGGCCATGATCAGAAAAAGGCTTATTTGGTGGCCCACTGGAAAGTGAATTAAAGGACACGTCTGCTGATATTTACATTATTTAATGCCAGTAAACTAAAAGAAATCGAAGCAATATTGAATTGATCTTAAGTCTTTGTAGCCAAATCTTCATATGGTTTACTCACTTTGCCTTAAAGAGCTCCATCTGAATCTATTAAAGACTCAATAATTCCCACTGTTGCACTACTGTATATATATTCACATTTATAAACATTATCGCCAAATTATGAACCTTTTCATTTGTATACCTTGCTGTAAGTTTTTCTTATCCCTTAATATCGCACAACACCAGAGCGTTCAACTACGAGACACGTCCAACTGTTTCCTGCAAACATCTGCCTTGGGTGGGTGACGGGAGCAATGCGGAGGTGAAGAGGAACGTAAATTGTGACCTTTACGAGAAGAAAGGTGGGACTCGCTGTACGGCGTTTCAGAGATAAATGTGACCGATCAGTGCTGGAGTTGTCTGATCGGTTCGTTCCTGTTTCCTAATAGTCTACGTCAGGAAATGCATCGTGGGTAAGGGAGAAGACTACCGAGGGAAAGTCTTCACAACACGAGGCGGACTCACCTGCCAGCAGTGGTGGTCCAAGTTTCCTCATGATCACAGGTGAGATGTTCCTCTGATGAACGGTATGGAGGCGCAAGTCTTTAAAGCATTGTCATCACTTATCAGGTACATTGTAGCATAACATTTTTAAAGATAGTTGTGAAATATGTAGAAAAAGCTAAACAAAACCATTTTTATGTCTAAATCGATAAATGTTTTCAGTCCAACTGTTGTGTTTCATTTGCAAAAAACAGAATTACTGTCAGCTGGTTTTATGCCTCTTCCAAACAGTCATGTTGCAGTTTCCATCACTTTTTCATTTGAATCTAGAAGATAAAAATGTTGTATTTAGCATATCGGTTGATGGCCAACGATTTGCTTTGTGAGGACAAGATGATCTTCATCAGCAATATTAGAGCAGTTGAAGGAATTCACTCAAGGTGTTGCCAGCAAAGATGGACAGGCGTCAAAAGGACAACAACGCTTTCTGTTTGTTGATGTTTATCACTTGTGGATTTGTCATTGAAATAATAGTAAATAGGACAACCTAATTCAAACATTCCCCTCAATATTCCTTCATATGTAAACATCTTATTTAAATGACTGCAGGTGATGTGTTTTGTTTCTTTAGCCCAAATTGTCTACTCTTATCTACCTGCTTTCGAGTAGCAGCTCTTTTGCTAAGTCATTGTGTGTTTTTAAAGTTTCAAAGTGTTCTTTTGCCGTTGCACTAAAACACAAAATAACAAGTCATTTTGCCATTTGCTTTTACTCTCCTCTGAAATGGCGACATATAAAAAGAGCTCCCACTCCCACACCATTCATCTTCCGTGGCTGTTAACACCCTTAAATTAAAGCTGCCAGTCGTCTTTTAAACGTGTTACATTTCCGCTGCAGTGCTCACAAAAGAAACAAATGTTACACTATGACATCTTTGCAGCACTCCGCGCTAACCAAAGCCGTCCGTCACTCACTGGGAAACTCCCTGTCCGTCTCAGGTGGACTCCCACAGCCACCAACGGTCTGGAGCTGAACTACTGCAGAAATCCAGACGGGGACCGGATCGGCCCGTGGTGCTACACCACCGACCCCGAGCGCCGATATGAAAGCTGCAACATCCCCCAGTGCAAAGATGGTACGGCCCGCCAAATAGTTTTTTTTTCTGTAAAATTTGTTGTTACCGATACGATGGGACATAAAGACAACGCTTTGAAAAAGTATTGTCATAGTTTTACGCTCATTAGTTTTTTAAAGAGGAAAAAAAGTGACACATTCCACCACCCAAGGAAAAAACTCACTCACTTCTTAACTGCCTTTGTTGATTCATATGTTTTGTGGTAGTCTGCAGACTGGCTAAATGATAATTAGTTTGGTATGAGAAGGATGTAATTACCAAGTGCACCAGTTACACATCATTCCCCCAAAATCAGCAACAAACAACATTGTTATTTCTAGAAGCCTTTGTAACAAATAACTATTGTGTCAGTTCCTTCATGAGTAATTATTTGGATATTATAGAACCAGTGAATTCCAATTTTCCCGCACGGGTATAGCTTTGTTTCTCTCTCACACTTTGATTTTGTGTTTTTGTTTTCAGAGGTTTGTATCAGGTGTAATGGGGAGGACTACCGAGGGCAGGTGGACCACACCGTGAGTGGCAGAGAGTGTCAGAGATGGGACCAGCAGTACCCTCACCAACACATCTACCAGCCTGAAAAGTAGTACTCTTCACTACGTCGCCCATTTAAACTGTTCCAAACTGTTTCAGTCCTTTGTTTTGTCAATATGGAAAAAAAGACTCTTTGCTTATATATATTTTTTTAGGTACCCTGATAAGAGTTTAGATGACAACTACTGCCGTAACCCCGACGCCTCCCCGGTGCCCTGGTGCTACACCACAGACACAGAGGTGGAGAGGGAGAACTGTGAGATCAGCAAGTGCAGTAAGACGATTTTCATTTTATAGAATTAAAGATGGAATGATTATTTGATTAATTTATTGGTTGATGGGAAAGAAAACCTCATATTCATTCATACTTTTTTCTTTCTCTGTAAATAGAATTCTTTACATTTTCTTAGTTTATGGGCCAACTTAATTAATTAATTAATTGACAATGATTAATAGATGATAGATGACAACTAGCCCTAAAAAAGTTGTAATTGTAAAGTTTTCTTATTTCTTCCATTTGGTTTTTGCCATTAGTTTCGTCTGACACAATCAAGGACACATGAACTAAATTGATTCTTGCTGTGTTAGGAGACACCGTTGAATTAGAGTCTCGTTAAATCGCTGTAATTCAATTTAGAGAAATCACCCTTTTGGTGTTTGTACAAATGACTTTCCGAATTCTGTGACATTTCACACTTGCCTCAATGATTCACTTTGATTTAAGAGTCAATTAGCTAAACCTTGTCCCAGATTAAAGCCATGTATTTTTCCCACAGGTTTAAAGTTAATTAAATACTAATTACAATGATTAAACTTTCAATTGGGTTATTTGTTTTTCTAAGGTTTTATATGTCTGTGAGGTTTTACTGAGGTATGCTGTAGTTTCCCATTAGGGTTCTGTTTTCATACATACAAAATGTAAAGGTATGATAATGTCAAAAGTATTTTTGCAACATTTTTAAATATAATATAAATAAATAAATATAAAATCACACATCGTACATTTCTATTATTTAGACATATTCATATTCTGCTCTTATTCTAACTCTTTTGCAGTTGGGAATACGTTCAATCGAATGACTCTAATGCTAGACTTTTAGTACTACCTACTACCTTTTAGTAGATAAATAAATGATAAATGAAAATAAATGAAGAGGGTTTTCTCCAGATTCCAACATGAGTTGTGTAGCGTCACATGTGCGGCCTCCATTTCCAGTGAGCGCAGAGTTCACTGGGGCCCAAAATCTATAAAATAGCACCATCTTGTGGTGCAGACAGCGTTGAGTTAAAATACTTATTCGATTCAAATCCAATTTTTCATCACGATAAACAAAAAGTTATATCAAAATCCAAACATCACATTTTATTTATTTTTTTTTAACGGAAATAAGTCATTTTTTTAACCTTGTTTTTTCGCACAATGTAATTCTTTTAAGGTTTTTGTACGTGCAATTGAAAAAAAAATGAATCAAAAGATGATTTGAAGGAATTCTAATGTAATATTTGTTAAATTATTTTCTGTATTGAAAAATGGACGCGGCTGTAGTGACTCCCTGACGCACTGAACTCTAGACAGAGTCATTGACTAACACAAATCAAACACGGTAGCGGAAATAACCTGACACGAACATTGAAATGTAGATTGTTCAATCATTCATTAACCATCTCTTCCAGAAATAGAAACAAACAGAGAAATACACAACTTGAAATAACAGATTATTATTATTACAATTCTGCTTTGATAAATAGCACATACTATGTATAACACGAATGTGCAAATGTTGCTTTTCTTAAAAGTTGAATTAGTGAACAAAAGATTTCTTCGGACTTCGAAGTTCCCACATCACACCTGTGTAAGTTACATATTGAAACATGATTGGATTTCAACGATTGGCAACCTGTGATGTCACAAACTCTTCCCGCTATCCTTTTTGAGTGAACGGGGGCCTTAGCTTCACATCAACACATTCATTCTTACATCACATTGAGTGCACTGGAAATACAAAAAGATGGACTGAAAAAATGACACTTTCATGTTGAATTTATTTATTATTAACTTAATAAGAGAACTAAAATCACTAAATAACGGCATCCCTTCGAACTCTGTGCAGCGCACAAGTGACCGTTAAAACTAACTCTTCATCCGGCTCTATTTGTCCAGCTGAGGTGCAGGTGGAGAAACGTCAGCGCTCCAGCTTCACCACCAACTGTTTCCGCGGCCGCGGCGAGGACTACCGTGGTAAAGTCAACGAAACAACATCGGGTATCCCCTGCCAGCGGTGGCATGCCCAGCACCCTCATGAGCATCCCTTCTACCCAAACACATACGAATGCAAGTAAGAACACGTCAAAGAGAAGAAGAAGAAGTACTTTTGCGTTTTTGCATTTTTTCTGCCCTCGTATTTTGCCAGTGCTCAATTTGCTTCACACATTAATATCAGTGTCCAGATGTCATTGCAGTGACATTTCTTGCGATTTTATTTCTGACAGTTGACAGTCGATGATAAATGGCCGGTCACACACTGAGTGGCAATATGGATGTGGAAGGAATATTGAGCTTATTTATGACATTCATCACGCCTAAACTGATTACAAGGGTTTCAATCACCCAGTTTTAGTAGAAGAACTGTTGAGTTGTATTAGTATGTTGTTGAAGCGTAATCATCTCTGCCCTCCCCCTTTCAAATAGCACTCGGTACAATGCATTTCATTAGGTATTATAAAACAATGAAAGGCCCAGATATTAGCATTGTACAACCTTCATTATAAAATAATCTTTCAATCGCTACAATGTTAAACATCAAAGCTTTTGATATCTGGCAGCAGATCTTTGTTTCATACGCATAAATGGCCAGGACCAAACTATTTATAGGTGTTCAGAGGTTTTTCATGTGACAGAACAAAGCTTGAAACCACCCGATTGACTGTGTGCAACATCTTTTCCAGGGGTTTGGAGGAGAACTACTGTCGTAACCCAGATGGGTCGGAGGCTCCGTGGTGCTTCACATCTGTGCCAACGATGAGGACTGCTCTCTGCTTACAGATCAAACGCTGTGCAGACGACATAGAGGCTGAAGGTATCGCTTTTCATTCTGATTTTAGCATTGAGATTATTTCATTTGCGGCTGGCGGATGATGTTGTCAAGACTGTATGAATATTTACATAAGAACATTAAACCATCATTATAGAAATACCATTATAGAAACCTAAGAATATTTGGACCAGGAACCAATAATAATGGTTTTATCTAATTGAAGTTATTGTATGTTATATTTCTCAAAAGTTTATTTCCCAACATTAATTCAACACTCTCAACTGAGAAAGAAATATATTTCATAACGCTAAAATGTTCCATTGATTATTTTAATAAGCAAAGCCTTAATTTCCAGTGTGTGTAAGATTATAAGGCAAGTGAGTATTTTTGAACATACCATCATTTCTATGCAAATTTTCCAACTTAAAACCTTAATGCCTATTGCATTTAAGCACATCAGGTGATGGCTATTTGTGTAATGAGGAAGGAGGAGGCCTAAGGAGATCAATATCCTGTATCAAGGTGTTCATAATTATTAGGCTGCTTCTTTTAAGATCGAACTGATTCTAATTTTGGCAAATCTCTTTTTGAAAAATTTGATATACTATGATTGGGCGAAGACTTTGTCCATTTTAGGTATAAATTCATTTTGGAAAAACACATTTCTGGTGGAAAAATGCAGAATCCTGGATGGATTTATTTATTCCGTGTTACTAAAACACGGATATCAAGAATATATCCACAATGCTAGCTATAAACCTGTATGGGAAACAGGCCGTTTCACTGTTTTCATCAGTGTGCCATAATTCATAGAGGAAACTTGCATCCTGTTATTTCTTTAGATTGCTACCACGAAAATGGAAGAAACTACAAAGGAATGGTCCGCAAAACTCGTAAGGGGATCACCTGCCAGAAATGGAACGCCAACACACCTCACCTGACCAAGTATGACGATCATTTAAGTCCTACAAAGACAGATGATTCTGTATCCAAGATACTACTAACAGAGAATGGAAGGGACCATGTGTAGGGCCTTTATGTTGATGCTGTGTTAAAAATCCAAAATGTATAAAGCATAATACCCAGAAATAGGTGTTGTCTATGTTCTGTTTTCACACAAGGACAGGAGCTGAATTAAGTACACTTTAAACAGTGTGCATGAACCCTAAAAACCTGCTGTGGAGGATACTTTCCTCCCACCATGGAAAAATAAATCAAAACGAATTATTGATGGTGGGGAAACAGCTGCAGGGAACAGCTGCAGGACAAACCTCATAAAACATAATTAAGTGTTTTATTTTTGGATATTTGCTTCTCAGCTATAACAATAAATATGTTGCAGCCACGACAGACAACAAATTGCTGACTTTTATGGGGACTAAAACGTCCATTAAGACTACTTGAATTTTTGAAACCTTTTGGAAAAAAAACACTGTGACTTCCCAGGATAAACCTGAGTACGCATCCTGAGGCCAACCTGACAGAAAACTACTGTCGTAACCCGGATGGGGATCAGCACGGACCCTGGTGCTACACCACGGACCCCAAAACTGAGTTTGACTACTGCGCCATCAAACAGTGTGGTACGGAACTGATTTATTTTCTCTGTGTCAACTTTCCCACAGTAGCTTGATGACAACTGAAACCAAGCGTCTCTCCTGTGACTTTAACATCCGTTTCTTATCCGTTTTCAGCTGGAGAGAAAGTGTCCATGATCGAACCAGCAGGTAGGTTTTCTGAATAGATTTGAAGCATTACTTTGTTGTTGACAACAAGCCTTCTGAACAGTTTTTCCTCCGTTATTTACAATAATACGTCACCCTTTTGTGAACACAGCGAAAGTGGAGTTCAGTGAGTGTGGGAAGAGGGAGGACCGCTTACAGCCGACGAGAATGCGTATCGTGGGTGGGATTCCTGGGAACTCGCCGTGGACGGTGAGCCTAAGAGACAGGTGAGTCTCAAGAGGACGTGTTTGAGACGGCAGTAGAGACACGTAGAATATGCTTAGCTGTGCTTGACGTGAACTCTGACCTGTGACCTCTTGTGTGCAGGAAAGGAAACCATTTCTGCGGAGGATCCCTGGTTAACCCCAGATGGGTGATCAGCACCAAGCAGTGTTTCTCCTCCTGGTAGAGTTTGTTCACTTATTGTTTTTTATTTTCAGGGATTCATCATTGTCAGTGATTAGCGTTGAGCTTAAAGCACTGCTGTGACGCTTCACAGAGCTGCAAGCAGGACTGCAGACCCTCGTATCTTGCGCTGGCTTTATGGAAGAGCTTTGACCAGTAGATCAAGATATTAAACGTTTGGCATTTTGCTTGTCTGCATTTGTGCACAGCTACGTGGACCTGCCGGGATACTCGGCCAAGATGGGAACCCTGTACCGCGATCCTCAGGAAGGAGAGCCCGGGGTGCAAACTATCCCTCTGACCAAGATCGTCTGCGGACCCTCAGAGTCTCAACTGGTCATGCTTCAACTGGAATAGTGTGTACTTTTAAGTGCCCCCCAGCAAACACACAAACACACACACAAAAATACCAATAATTTCCTACCACCTGTCTCCTCTTTCTGTAGCCCGGCTCAGTTTAATGAGCGTATCTCTCAGATCTGCCTCCCTCCTGAGCGCTACATTGTCTCTGAGGGGACGTCTTGTGAGATCGCTGGATGGGGTGAGACAAGAGGCAAGTATAATCCTAATTTAACAATTAATTAAATACATGCCGTGCGTCGTGCAACTACAACATGCTTCAATTTCTGTGATTGTTGAGAGTTCCTTAGAACAACTCTCATGTTTCTGCCCACAAAGTAATGTTGTATCTAAAAGAGAGAACTATTCAGACCATTGAGCAACAGACAGCTTTGATATTTCCTGAACCATTCAACATCTGTCCACCTTCCTTTTATATTTTCTACATGTTCTTAAACATATTTAGCTTCACACTCATCCCTCCTTCTTGCTGTTTTTCAAGGAACTGGTGATGAGACTGTCCTCAATGTGGCCTACATACCAGTTCTCAGTAACAAGGAATGCAACAAATACTTTAGAGGTCGTGTTCGTGAGAATGAGATGTGCACCAGATCCTTCCAGGGCGGGGTGGGCGCCTGTGAGGTAAGTGTCCATCAAACGTGTACACAAGATTAATGCTTTTTTGTCCATTTGCTGAATTATTATTTTTTTGAACTGGGGCAGCAGCAAAAAAGGATCTTTTTTGAAGATTTTTTTACTTACTTTAAAACGTATACATATGGCTTGATTTACTTTACTTTAACTATAAACAACAGAAATAAAGAAGCTGTTTGATGGCAAACAGAAAAGAAGTACATAGATGAACAAACCAAACAACAAAACAAGAGGAGGAAGAACACTTTTTATTCTTGCCTTTATTTGGTTATAGTGCAGGTGCATTATGGGTAATATGGCGTAAATCACAACACACAAAAATGTAGCATTTTCTTTGATATTTATTGCGGTGTGTAGCTGCATTGACAGGAAAAAAACAGAAAAAGCCAGTTCTAAGGCAGACAGGTTTTTTTAAAGACACAAAACCCACTAACACCTGAATGGTTAACTACTTAACACACTATATCTTGTTTGTTTTTTCACTTATGGACAGAGCAAATCTAGCTAGTTCCCCTACTTTCCCGTTCGTATGCTAAGCTAAGCTAACCGGCTGCTGACTGTAGCTTTAGTGGTATCAATCCTTGCATCTAACTCCAAGAAAAGGAATATGCAAATATCCAAAGTGTCAAAACAATTTCTTTATTGAACAAGTATAACATTATTTGGTGAGAAATAACACTTCAAATCGTTTGATGATGAAAATCACTTAAAGTAAAGAGCGAACAGCTATTTATATACTCCTATATATTAAACACATTCACCATTTGGATAATGGAGGAGGACTGGACAAGATGTGACTGCAAGATGTTTCCGACCTCAGCAGTGACAGTCAGTCATAACAGAGAGAAATAATGACTCCAGAGTGTTGTTTCTGTGTGTCTGCAGAGAGACTATGGCGGCCCTCTGGCGTGTCAGAACAGGGACTGCTGGGTACTTGAGGGTGTGATCATCCCCATGAGGCGCTGTGGACACCCGGGGCAGCCCAACATCTTCATCCGTGTCTCTGTCTATGTTGACTGGATCAAAAAGGTCATGGAGATGGCTTAAGCAGAGACTGCCATCCGACAGGAACTGATCAGCTCTGCTCAACCCTGAGCACCAGTTTTTTTACTTGACCATATACGTTTTTTCTTTCTCAGATGTCTCTTTAAAACATTAAAAACATATACATTAAGATGCACAGTCAGATTTTATTAGTTAAAACATTAAGTAAAAACGTTGCTATGTTCATTCAGTTGTGGTGAAAATGCAAAGACAGCGCAGCAATTATATGATCTGCTTTAAATCAATCTCTCCCTGCCTTTGCATTTATTTGGGTGCCTGAGCCTGGGTTCTCTCCGGGTACTCTGGCTTTCTGCCATAGTCCAAAAGACATGCCGGTGAGGTTAATTATTGACCCGTGTGTGTCAGTGGATGGTTGTCCCAATGTCAGCCCTGTGATTGACAGGCGACCAGTCCAGGGTGTTCAACGTACATTCAGTACTTACTAAGTTAAACAATAAACAGAGAACATCCATAGTCCCAAAACATGATGCAAAACAACCAAGAGAAGATTTACCATATGAATACAGTTCAGTAAAATTCTACAATTTTTTTCGTTCAGCATGTGTAAGCGATGTATATATTTAAATATAATGCAGCTGTCAGAGGATACAAATAAATGTAATTGTTAATTGTTCGGGTGTAGTACTTCTCTATGATTGTAACTTCTCCCATATATTTTAAATTGTTATATTAGATTTTTACTATTTAATCATTCATTATCTCTGCACCAGTCTCCACTTCATGCTTGCCAAAAGGACGACATATATGCACTGACAAATAAACACCGCTTAAAACAACTTTTCAGTGCGTTGCAAACCATTTATCAAATGTGTAGATAACTCACAAATGCTGGGACTTCAGGTTAAAGTTTGTATTTATTCTCTAAGAAATAAAAGACATGAAGGGATAACATCCATTTTTTTGCCCCACAGGTTCAGAGGACAATAACTGAGAATAAGCGGCTCCCAATAACAGGGGAGGTGTGGGTGGTTTACAGCCCACATTTTAGGTTCCTAACATCCCCTGGAAATGTACCGTTTACCACAAAACTGTACGCCTCCCCCTCCTCCCCCCGGCACTGAATGCAGCTCCAAAATACCTTCTTTGCCCCCAGCCTCTAAAGAAATCCCTCCTCTGCGTGTCTTTTGATGCCTGCCCCCACCTCTAAGGACGTGCCTTTGTGCCTTATGCAGAACTGTATGCGCTGCACATTCTTTCTAGTTCTATAGGAGGATTTTTGTAACCCGGTCCTGATGAGCCCACGGAATTCAGCTTAAATAAACCTCAAGATCAGAGTCGGACCGAATCTCAGACACCAGCCTGCAGAGGGCCACTGAACTCACACAAATACACACACACACACACACACGCACACACACGCACACAATGCTCTCTCATTCAAGCCCGTTCTACCCCCCCCCCCCCCTGCCTGCTCCAGCATCGGTTTTCTGTCGTTTCGGGAAGAGAACAAAAGTTTCTCTCAAAAATCTGAAGATTTTGACATTTCATCTTTTGCGCAACTACCAGGACCGAAGCGTAGAAAATGTTCCCTTTTAACTAAACACACAGCGTATGGAAATGTACGAGGTTGACAGTTAGGATTTCAGCGTCATTTGGTTTACTTTCATTTTGTATGATTAATAGTGGTAGACCAATTAGATTCATAATTCTCGCCAACTATCAAAGCTTAAAGCTTCTGGGAAACCCTGCATATGATTATGATAATAGTTTCTTTAGTGTTGTGCCTTTTAGGTGTGTGGGTGAAATGAGAATTGTTTTTTTTTTGTAAATGTAATCTGTTACCAGATTTCAAGGGTAATCAGTGAATATTTGAATAACATAATTCAACAAACGAGGGGTCAAATGGAGCCTTGTGCTTCATCAATGTAGCTTAAAGCTTTATATTTGGTTGTCATGACAGCACGTTCACAGCCGCCCCTGGAATGTGTATTCACCGTGGTTCAATCACGTCAGTTCGTTTTATCAACTTGTACAAATTTACAGAGTTATCCCTAGAAAATCACAAAGGCGGGTTAAAAAGAAACAATATTTAAACCTTCGCAAGAATATTCAACTGAAGTACATCACAAACAATTCCACCCAGAAATGATGAGATTTTCCCATTTTTATTTAAGTCAGTAAAAACAGAAAAGCTGAAGATAGCAGGGAAAAAAAACATTAGAGGAACTAACTTTTCTGGGGTTCTGGGAACCTTTTGCACATGGAGTCACAGCCCAACTGTTCTTTTACTGCACGATTAAATGACATAGACCGTTATTACCCAGAAAAACGAAACGATCATCCCGCAGACGTTCTTATCAACAAAAAAAACCCATTTGATGTGTGTGTCCTTTGTTATGACTTACAGAGTGATACCTCGAACGCTGTGGGGGGGGGGGGGGGGGGAGTGAAACTTCGCCCCGAAAACAGTCTAGACAGACTGATCTTACTAGAACTTCTTCTAAACCTTTTCCTCTCATCTGTGGGGAACTTCCCAAGTCCCCGGATCCCACTTCGGGAACCCCGGAACCAGACTCTACCCTCCTGTCTGATGCTCGTCCCCCCCCCGTCTCTCTCCCCACCTCTCTCCCTCCTTTCCTTCCCTAAAGTGGGTGGTCCGGTGAGCTTTCTTTGGGGCGGGGTCCTCCGTCTCAACCCTCCTACCCTCGCTCCCTCTTGAAACATGCTTTAATAGAGAAAGTATGCAATGCATACTGCTCAGCTTCAACCCCCCAATTATGCTGCAACTGGGGTATTCGTGACGTCTGGGTGGGGGGTGGGGGGGGGATCACACACATTTCCGATTAGAGAGAGGGAGAGCGAGAGAGAGAGCGAGAGAGCGAGAGAGTGCACTCTTTAAATCCAACCAATGAGACTGCCGATACGTTGATATCTTCGCAGTTGTGCGCGAGCACACGGTGAGGCGACGTCGAGAGCTTCCAGGTGAAACTACGGACCGTCTCAAGGTAAGTTCCCCCCGGCGCCTCCGACCCGCATGACCCGCGGCTCCCCGGCCCGCGCGCCGAGAGCCCGCGGCCCCGAACGTATGCTCGTACTGTGTGTGTGTGTGTGTGTGTGTGTGTGTGTGCGTGTGTACGTGTTGGTGCGCGCGCGCGTGTGCGTGTCTGCGTGTGTGTTTTCACGGCTGGTTGCAGCGCAGAGCTTTTGCACCTGTGTGGTTCGCCTTTGTTCAACTTGTTAACGCGATAGCGGCTCCTCGGTCGCTGCGCCGCGGAGGACCTGTTATCGCCGCGCGCGAGGAAAGACACACACACACCAAATACACGCGCACGCACGCACGCGCGCGCATTTCACATCGATTGCGCAATAAGTGATGGGAGCGAGGGGATGTTGTGTAGTGAGCGGCGACGCTTTAAAAACGCTCAATGGCCTCGGCTGTTGTTTCTTCTTTTGCGCACCATGTGTTACTCGAGCCCAGAAGTCGGGAAGGTCCCAACTCGCGTCAGCAGCGCATAACGTAGTTTCTGTGCAAACCGTAAAGTAATGTGTGTGGCTTGTTTTTTTTTAATGCTCGCAATTGCCGCCCATATGCGAAAAGTACATTGAGTCCCCGGTACTTGAGGGGCAAACACGGGCTCGCTGGAGCGGACGGTCCGGCCGCTGCAGGAGACGCGAGGAGGACTCGCGTCGGGTCGGAATCCAGCTTTTCCTCCTTTTTTCATTTTTAGCGAAACGAAAACGACGTCGCGCGTCTCGTTTTGCTTTTTAAAAATCGTTTCGACGTGTACGTAGACTCCGACTTCCTTCTTCAGTGTGGCCGTTTTGAGAGGCTGTTTTGGCAATTAGTGTTTGGCACATTCCTCGCTGGGTTGTGGTGAACGACCACCTCGGGACATTACCAACAGCCTGGTTTTAAAGTTGACATTTATGGTTTACTCTCTTAATAAAACGTAAATAATACAGGATATTGCTTTTTTTCGCGGAGTAACCACAGCTTTAATGTGTATGTTATAAAGACATTGTTTATAGTGACATTAATCAGACCACTGTTTTCATTATGGTGATGGGCTGAGAGAAATGAAATATTCTGTCCCATGTAGTGAATTTCATTTCTCGATAACGTCCATGTAAAGCATTTTTACTGTTTATTTAATACACGAACGATCCATATGGATCTATTCGGATACCTCTGAATGAAATAGGTTTTTTTTTGTTTTTTTTAACTGCAGTTATGTGTTCGTAGAATGCTACTGATAACTGATACATTTGAGTTCGCCTGTGCTTGTTGTTACCAATTTCAGATAAAGTACTTGTGTTTCGCGATATCTCGATACAAGAGTTAATCGCGATACTATTCAACTGAAGACGATAAACCATCAAAATGAATCAGTTCGCTAGAGGCTGCAAACTATTTCCACGTTTTTAGGTAAAAGTTGGTGCAACAACGTGCACACCCTCATTGAGAAATAGTTGAGAGAGGGCAGATGGAAAAGCAGCGTACAGTACAGCAGATGGAGATTTTGGATGGTGTATTGAATTGTGAATATCTGTGCTACTTTTAGTCGCTGGACACCACTCTCATGTTTCCCCGCGTCTGCCAGACCCCCGTCTGCGTTTCGACGAACCTGGTGCCAGGGCTTATGTATAAGCAGTTCCCACGCTCGCTTCTGGAAAAGGATCTTGTGTGATTTTGCTTTTTTTTTTTAATGATCCTTTCAATGATATTGAGCACTGATAGAAACTCACTGCGGCAATTGTGCAAAAAGTGGAGAAAAAAACGAACAACCATTTAAAGCGGTACATCATAGCCGATGATCTCCAAAGATGGTTTTTGCCGCTGTTCCTCGCTCACGTCTGCGGCTCCTGATACTCAGGTCTTCTCCTCCTTTTAAGCCCTTGAGGCTGCTTCTCCAGGCTTTGATGCCCACACTCTTTGAAGCAGGGGGACAGACGCAGGCATGAGTGACAGTGGGACCAAAGAGCCGTCTGCGGAGCCGAGCGCTGCTCAGTCGCCTCCTGAGCCTCAGCGCCGGGGACGGGGTCGGCCGCGGAAACCGCTGCAGGTGGGACTCCCTTTCTTTAAGACAGCAACTTGATCCGCTCTCTCTTATGAATAAAAAATAACAAAGCTACTTTTTGCTTTGTCTAAATCTGGCTGTTCATGCAAAGAGAGGTTACGTGGGATTTCTTTCTGCAGGAGCCTGTGGGACCGCCGACTCCAAAGCGACCAAGAGGACGACCGAAAGGAAGCAAGAACAAAGGCCCAAGAACTGCACTCAAGGTTGAATCTGTTGGATTTTTAAAGCGTTTTTTGAGTATACGTTTATTGCCAATATATAGGAAATAAACTGCATCCGTGACTTACAACCTTCATCTCTCTGAGAGACAGCGTCTGTCTACATGTGAATAACGTCCTGTATGTTCTTGATCAGTTTGTCTTTTATTATATTTGCATTGCTAATTCATCATTTGTATCTTAAGTTTGTATTAACACATTGTAATGGACTATGCAAAGATCCCTTTTGAAGTTTTGCTAAATCTTCTCTTAAAGTTGAAGCCGGAGCGTTTTGAGAGGCAGGTTTCATCAGGAGGAGAGATTTTTACTGCCCCTGCTGGCAGCTTCCCGGTTTGCCTGTGCATCTTTAGCATGTGGTAGATGCAAAGGGCATTGATTCATTATACAAGAAAAGGTTTTATTTTCCCAATATTTCTAGAAAAACAATTATTTTGAGGCAACTGAACTTGGTCAACTGGTTACATGAAAGTATAACATTACATGTATATCAGTCTTTAATTAGTCATGATAATCACACAAAGATGTTGTTATCTGTTCACATTTAGGAAAATGACTCTACTACTATATAATGCTTTAAAATAATCTTTTATTCAGATAGAAACACTAGTATGTCTGCTGTATTTAATTTAATGAACATCGCTACAGGCACATGATGACTTTTAAAGGGATGGTTTAACTAAGAGAAAACATATTTCTGTCCTTGGTAATTGCTAAAGAATGCAGTTCTGAATGAAAACTTTAACAATTGTGGACTGTTAACATGTGAAACTTTATACATTGATTTTTTTTCTTTTCTTCAGAAGGTAGAGCCCGTTGGGGAGCGCCGACCTCGTGGGCGACCAAGGAAATGGGTATGGAGCAATCGTTGTCAGTTAGAGACATCAAGGTGTGCAAAGCCTCCAAAGTGTCTCCTGGAGCCGCACAGTCCTCGATCGCTCCTTTTACTTTCATTTCTAAGTCATTCTGTCTACTTTCTTTCTACAGCCCCAGAAAGTAATTCAAGTAGCTGAGGAGCAACAGGTGAGGATAATGAAACCTTTAAAACGAGTTTTGTTTTGACCGGTTTCTGTGAATGTAATTACTGAATATTTTGTTATGAGACCCTATTTCTAACTATCACATCCTCACAGCTACTTGCACTTTTCAATGCAATACTCTTCCACTGCAGATTCATTAAATCATTTTTTTCTCATTTTTTTTTTTAATTGAATCACTCATCCGTTGTCATTACACAGAAGCTGAAGGGACTTTGACGGTTTGTGACTGTGGAGAGATGCAAAGCTCTGTTTCAGTTGAACAGAAATCTCAGTTTGTGTCACTGGTTTTACCTTTTGACTAAGATCAGTCACTTTTGTGATCGGGGGCACAGCAGAGCCCATCTCATTTAACTATACGTGAATATCTTTCATTCTCATTCTTCTGACCTTTCTATACTTTCTAAACTCAGTTCTTCTGACCTTGATGCAAAGGATTTTCTCACAAGAAAAGAACCACGTAGAGAAAGTATAAGACCCAACAAAAGCGCATTGCATCTTCATACACGTCACAAACCTTTTGCGCAATGCATAATCTGACAATAAAACGTATAAAATTGCTGTTGTTTTAGCACACTGGATAAAAATAGCCAAACGACTGATGCGCACATTAATTTTGCCTTCGTGAGGATGAGACGGTTTCTTGGTAATGCACAGCTGAATTCCCCGATACACCTCCAAACATCCTTTTGAAACATCCAGCTTTGTCGAATGTAGGCCTTGGTTTCTGAGAAAAACGTTTCTCGTAGCCGCTTTGTTCGGCTTTTTTTCCCCTTCAAACAGAAGACGTTGCGCAACAGTTGGGCAGTTCCACGATGCCCCTCGACCGCCTTATCGCATCCTCTCCTCTGAGCAGTTTGTCAAAGATGCTACGAGAACTGAAACCGTTGAGACAGACTCCCTTTTCTCAGACTCACGCACGCAAAGGGGAAGAATGAGTCAATGCACCGGAGGGGGGGGGGGACCTGATCTAACTGTTCTCTTCCCCTCTCTTCTCGGTTTCCTGAAACAACCGTCGTCTTCCTCACATTTCTAGGTCTTGACAGCTGGACCAACTTCCCTGCACTCAATCGCTCAATGAATTAGTGACGCTCATTCCTGTTTTCTTGTGCTGTTTTCTAGTGGTGATTCATTACCTTGCGATTACTCCTGCAATGAGTCACTAGACAAAAAAAAAAAAAGCAGACCAAGTGAGAGTGTTTTTCTTTCTTTTGCTCTCCTGCTGATCCAGGGCTCTTCAGAAGAGGATGAGGAGGAGAGTTCCTCGCAGCTTGAGCCCACCACATCTCAGGATCCTGCACGGGAGGAAGGGGAGTAGTCGTAGTAGGATGCCTCTCTACCTACCTCAAGGTTTGGCCTCCCAACAAATAGGGATACTGTCTGACTCCTATCTGCGATGGCGATTCAGGAACACACAGACACACACGCTCACACACACAACTCATCGCAGAAAGTGGTTTGTTCCGCTGGTGCTGTATCATGGTTTCATTGCTTCACGCTCAGTACGGTGATTTCATCTATGAAACTGGCTTCTGGTAAGAAGGGATAATATGATATTTTGGGATGGACATCTATTCCCATTCCGGCCGGGGGGGTTACGTAGGATGATTGATACCAGTCTCGTGTCTCCGTAAATGTTAAGTTACTGTGAGCAGCTAGTTAGCTTAGCATAAAGACTGGAAACTTAAAAGTGTATAAAAAATATAACTTACAGCACCTAATAAAGCTCTGTAGTTACATCTCATTTGTTTAATCCCTAAACAGATGAGTGTTAGAGGAAGGTGTTTTAATTCAATTTTGTATCTTTGTGCCTTTTGGGTTTCAGACCGTTTCCGGTCTTTATGCTAAGCTACGCATTCTTTGTTCTATCAAACTTCTCATCTAACTAAATGCAAAAATGCCAGGAAGTGTATTTCACTTATCAACTACTACTTCAAGGATGTCTGCTTTCCTGAACCTCTCTGTGTGTGTGTGTGTGTGTGTGTGTCTGTGTGTGTGCGGTGTGTGGAGAGGGGACAGGCTTGCGGTTTGAAATGGGGGGCGGGGGGGTGGTTGTAGAAAAAAAGGAACCAACCTGAACCTTTTTTATCGAAACAGGTTTCTAAGTAAAGTACCATGAATCCTCATATGAAATGGGAGCGAGATGGTGAAATCTTTACCGATAATATAAAATATAAACACGGTGTGCTGAAGTCATTATTATGAAAGTGCACGTGAAAGGTTTTATTCCAAAATGAAATATCCAATTTGGTTAAAAAAAAACAGATGAGTTTAGATTGACGACCTCAATGATTATTTTTCTTCCGAACAGCAGCAAGATAAAAAAAAAAAAAGCAGCCAAAGGTTTGAATGGATATGACATTTTTAGAAAGAAGCCTCTCATAAATACTTTGATGAAACGTCATATTACCACACTCAGGATTTTACTATTACAATAGTTACTCTTACACCATATTGAAACCTCAGGTACAAAACTATTCAGGAACATTTTGTCAGTGGACTCGGTAATAATTATTGTGCTGTGTTTGTTGTGCATTTCTGATCTATATTTGACATTGCCAGTATGCCTTGACACAAAGACCTCATTGAAACCTCAGTTGCCCTCAGTTTCTTAATCTCTCATGCTACCTCAATAACACAAAAGATCAACAAACTAACTCTCCACTCTCTCAGTAGTAGTTATACATACACACTTAATTAATACACGCACACGCTCACACACAACGGTTTGTGCGCAGGTATAAAACACATGCGATTTCCAGGCCTGCAGACCAACACACGGAAGCAGACATCACACTCCTGTAGAGGATTTTACTATCTGAGAGCAAATAAACCATCAGTCAATCAATTCGTTAAAGAAAACTGTATTTGTCAAAAGCTGAATCTAGAATTGGTTTGTTCTCCTGGGAAACACAATGCAGCCAATAGTTTACAACAAATGCTTTTTAGGCTGTAGTACCTTATGAATTGCTTTTTATTTTTGGAGGAGGTGGTGGTGAGGGGCTGTTAGTCCATTCTGATTATCACTATATTGTGTATTTTCTCATTCTTACACTGTAAACTGTATGTGTGACACTCTTAATCGGTGTGATGTATAAGGAAGGGCAGCAAATGACCACATTGCTGAAATACACGACAGTGATGGGAAACCACACAACCCCGGGACCCCCGTGCGTATGTAAATGTCCAATAATTAATTGTGGACATGTTAATGCTTAACAACGTAACGCCGTCTTCGTTTTAGCAATTCATGAGCGAAGAGAGGTTGCTCCTCCTTCCCAATTTGACTATTGAAAACAAGACTACAAGGGACCACGTGGCCCACAATGCGACCGTGGTGCACGAATGCTAAATGCAAATATTGTGTAATCAAATTATTAAGAATTGAGCTTTAAACTGCGCAAACTAACTTACATTTTTTATTTATGACATCCACCCAATAATACTGCAGCAGAACAACACCCTAATGTTCAATTTCAATTAGTTTTATTTTGTATAGCCCAAAATCGCAAATTACAAGTTTGCATCAGAGGGCTTTACAGTCTGTTCACATGCGACATCCTTGCATCATCATGTTGAAATGATAGTGTGTTTTATTGCTTATTACTTCAACTTTTAATTATGTTAGTCTTCTTTGAACTTTACATTGTCTTGCTTTAGGGGGTCGTTTACCCAAATTACCAAAGAAAACGTACATTTTCTCATTTTCGATCACTTTTAAGTTGGGCAAGTAAATATAATTTTTGTTTGTGGTCACACTATTTTACTAATGTTATTGAAAAGAGAAACAATCAGAAAGATTAGATACAACAATAGGACAATTTGGTTATGTCATTAAAAATAACTAAATTACTAAATTTAGCATAAAAAACAGAATATCATTGGTATGTCGGAGGGATAAAAAACAAAATGTTTATGACAAGTCCTTCCCTTTCTAAAACATGCTTATTTCCTCACCGGTGAGGATTTCTAACCCAGGACTTTCATGTATTTCAGCATTGTTGACTAAGCTGCTGCCAGAGGAGCTTAATTCATTTACAGGCAGACGTGTTTTTTTCTGTTGAACTGCATTGCCTTGTTTTGCCTCCTGGTCTACCTCTGAAAACTAACATGCCTGGAACACATCTGAGGAAATGTTTGAGTTTTATCTGCTTTTTCCATCAGACGTGCAGGAGATGTGGATCATGAAATCTTGAAATAACTGTCGAGCTATTGTTGTAGTCACAACACTCATCTCACCTCACTACATTCATGTCACCTTAAATGAATGGAAGTCAGCGTGAGAGGTGCATCTTGACTTAACTCCAGCCTGGTCAATGTATTTCATCTTACCCAGGCTGTCTGGATATTTACACTCTATACTGGGACAACGTTGTTCTGTGATCTTACTGATACTCATATAGTTACATGCAGTACTTGATCCAATTTCAGCTATTGAAAAGTTGATGTGTAACTTGAAAAATCCACTTCTATGCCTTACTTTTAACACAATTTTGTAGTTATGTTATTGATCGTCATCCACTTAATTAATACAACTCACAAACCTGTGATATATATATTTTGTTACGATTCTTTAACATGTGACTTGTGTTATTCTGCTTTATCGCTTTTTAATAAAATATCACACCTGCTGACTCTTTTGTTATAGATTTTTGGACAACAAAATTCTTTCAAATTGGTTTAAATAGTTTAAATGTGTATAGACAGAAACCGTCCTTCAATGCTCAAAGAAGAAACCAAATGGTGAGGAACAGTTTACTTTCGGATCATAACGCATCCGAGCTTCAGTTCAAGCTTGTCAGAGACGAAAGTCCACCAAATTAGTATAATACAAATCTACGTTTTTCTTTTATCAAACATGGAAGTAGATAGTACAGCTCAAAGGAGCTTCCCTGACAAGCTACTAAACCTTTTAACACCAATGACATAACATACATCAAGAAAAGTGCATCACACTCCATTTGTGCTCCAAATGAAAACAGTGCAAGATCATGCGTGATGCTTCCCGTTATTCTCCCTTGGACACGCGACCTACGTTACCCTTGTTTTCCTCTGAAAACCACGTCCACGTCACGTACTGTGTCGCAGGGGTGAAAACCTTCACCAGAGCTCCAGTTGTTCCCAGAACCAGTCCACTTGTCCCTTTTTTGTTTTCCTCCCTCAGAGACTGTCTGCTTCTGCGTGATGTAACTAATGGAAGAGAGCTGTTAAGCGTTGAGGGCTTTGGCTACGTCTGTGAAGACCAGGCGACTGGGTCTCTGCGTGGTCCCCTGGGAGGTTGTGAGAGTCTGCAGAGGAGATGGAACCGTTAGTGACATCAAGGAGTCTGCAGCCTTTTTGGCCCATTTTCATTCCCTTTAGGACCATCAACAGCTGAATGAACTGGAGGACGTAACGTGTGACTGATAACTGACCAGAGGCAACATATAAAATCAAAGACTCTGCAAACCGTTTATGGTATGGAACCAATCCACTAGAGAATTTGAACTTGCATTCTGAATATTGATAGATAATTAATTGTAGTTCTGATATGCAGATCTTTCCTTTGAAACAGGGTTCTGACTAAATAATCTTTACTAGTTTGCTGCTTACAACAGCTGGCACAGTTTGGTTGTAGTTTCCATAAGCAAGATGGGGTTAAAAGCTATGGAAAAAGTTAATAAGCAGACCAATAAATATCTCAAATAAAACCAGATTTATCAGTACTTCTCAATATATCCGTCTGATAGAACAACACAAACTGGTGTTTTGCATCGTTTTTGCACACTTTTTGTGTATGTGGCCCCTGGAATATTTGATGAAGTATTAAGTTGAGGGAGCACAGTGGAAAGGATGAAGGATAACATGGATGTATGGTTAAAGGTGAAGACTGAATCTTAAATTAGTATATACTTTGATATAGATTTGAGATACCAAGATATTGATAGATGATGAGGCTGAGGAAAAGATTGGATTTTAGAGGGATGTTCAAAAGACACACGGGTGATACTTTACCTAGTGCGTATTACCATTACGCCAATGTCAAAACTTAAAAGAAATCAAAGGAAATGAAGATAAATTATGACACAAACAAAAACGTAACAGTTTCAGATTCACAGATATAAGTTGCAATAAATAAGCTGATCATTAGTGATTGAAAAAAATTGAGAATTTATCCAATAGTTATTACGTTTATAAAATGTGCTAAACGGGCCAGAAGAACTGCTCTGAAGCATTTTGATCATATTTTGTTACTGATAATAGTAAACATTGTATATGTCATTAGAATATGGTTATCAGGTATTTCGTGGTCATCGCTGCATGGACTGCTGTGGTCTGAACGGGAGCACTTTAATTCTCGTTAAGTAACTTGTCAAATGGCGTCAGTGGTTCCGGTGGGAAATCTACCTTTGCATTGGGACCCGTGAGGCTGCCGTCCCGGCCGTGGTCCAGTAGTTCCTGTTCCAGCAGGTCATCCTGTTCTTCCGCCGGGTCGAAGTTGTACATGGGCATCAGCTGGTGCCTCAGCTTCTCCAACCTGGACAACAAGAGTAAAAAAAAAGATGAGAGACCAGTCGGCATTTAAAGCTGCCGTTTGTAATGTTCTCTAAACCATTTTTGTTGTTATATTTTGTTGAAATTTCAAATGCTTTGACAAAGAAAGGAGAACAAAATCGAGTATCTGTGGCTGCAATAAGCAAAACCTATCGTTTTATTTTGTCCTGGATTTTACGGGTGGATAAACGTTAATCTTGCATACTATAACTAGCTAAGTGATGAGACGGTGTACTTCATTGCCAATGTGTGTATACAGTACCGATGTCTCCAAGGTCACACTAATGCAAACTCCTCTGATGGATTAATACACAAATCGTATGTTTGTTTCAGTGGCAATGTATAAAATGAAATAATTCAACTTTTTAAACTACATTTTTGACTCTTTAACACAGCCACAAAATAACCAAATACAGCAAGACTTAGTTGATACCAATTGGCATTTTGTAAACTGAAGCTGTGGGATCAGCAAAAAATGTTTTTGAAAACTTACCGCTTTCGTTTCCGAATATACAGCATCTAGGACGGAGACAAACGGATATAATGACAAACAAGCAGTGTTGATGATGGACGTAATGCCCAGAAATTAAATGACTGAGTGCAAGTATACGGTAGCAGTACATAGTGACAATTATAGATTAGCGGTTTGACGTCAGCTCTTCTATTCCATGTCGATGTGTCCTTTGCAAAGACCCTTAACCCCTGCATTCTTCTCAAAGGCTGTGCCACCAGTGTATGAATGGGTGCGAGTGGGTGAATGACAAGTGGTGTTAAAGCTCTTTGAGTTGACGGCAGACTAGAAAAGTGCTCCATTTACCACAAACGGGAAGAATCCAATCGGTCACGATAGTTCATAAGGAGAAAATGATTATTTTAGAGACATATATTTAAATTACTCCTCACAATTGCCACGGCCAAGCCAATGACCGTGATGATGCCGAAGGGTACGAGCACCATTCCGAATCCCGAGCCCTCAATGGCCGCCTCCGGATACGCCGTGGCATTGAAGCTGGTGTCGTTTGTTGTTATAGTAACAGTCATTAATGTCATTCTGGAGGTGACATTGTCTCTGGCGCTCTTGCTCGTCGAGAGGAAGGGGATGGCGCCGGTCGTGGAGAGAAAACCTGTCGTGGTCTTGGCAGCGGTGACCGCCATGGTGACAGCGCGTAACCGTTTACTCTGAAGGGCGTAGTTTCGATGTCTGTGTGTGGGTCTCGTCGTATCGCTCAGCCTCTGGGGAACATCGCATGGTCGACACAGGTGTCTTCCTTTTGGTTGGAGGTCTGCTGAAGCATTGATGATACTCTGGTCATATGATGTGGGGGCTAAAACCTAAAACAGAAACAAAGAGGTCAAAGGGTAGGTTATAAGTAGATGGTGGTTGCATGGAGCATGAATAAAGATGAAGTCTTTTTAAGTGCAGCCCAACTGCCGCGATATAATTTCCAGTTTGCTTCTGTGCACTGATTATTTGCTTGAATGTTTGTTTTTAAAAAAACAAACCCACAAACGCTTAAGTTTTGGCACACCTCATCCTGGAGCTCAGTCGAACCCCGGCTGATTGTGCCAGCAGGCGTGGGGTGGGTGTTTTTGGGCAGGATGTGGGTAGCAAAAGGCACAAGAGGAAAGTGGCATAACGAACTTGATAAAATATAGAGAAATTATAACCACTCAAACTGTAACGCGCAGTGTGAGGAAACGTTTTGGCAGCTTACACCCACACGTGCACAGCTTCCATAAATATCCGCATCCAAGCCCTCAGCACATGTACCTCCGCTTCCCCCTCCCCACTACACACACACACACACACACACATTTCCCATGAGAGAGAGCAGCAATGTATGGGGAGGACTTGCATACAGCATGCGATGTACAACGTTTAGTTTAAGCAGAAAATGGACACATTTCTCCTTAGTGCATCCTGTCTGCTGAGCCCTTAACGAGGAACATGTGCAGATGAAGCAAACAAACAACGAAACCAAAGGCTGGGGTTCAGACTGTTGTCTAGGTAACAGCCCCCCTGCACAGACATCTTGGTCTGAATCACGTTAAGAGTTGTATTCTGTGTGTTACTGACGCATAACGATGTGTGTGTCATCTCAGCTGTCCTGTCCTAACAGCTGAGCTGCTAATCCCTCCAACGTGACCGGGTCCTCCTCCATGTGTCCTCTCAGATTAGAGATGCGCACACGTACCTTAACGTGCAACATGCATGGTCTCAGAGGTGATCCGCGGTGGCCCGGGGTGAGCTAGAGGGGGGTAAATTCCCCTGGGAGAAGCAGCACTTCCTCCAGCGGCTGCTGCACCTCCTCCTGCTCCTGCTCCTCCCCCTCTTCTTCTGCTTCCCCCCTCTTCAGCAATGCAGGTACCGCACGGGCTGTTTACAATGACAAACCAGCCATTTTTTTTTTGTTAGGATGGACTCCACACACCAGATTTAACACTATCCCTGCAGCCTGCAGCGGATCACCTTCCCGTTCTCCGGTCGTCTCCTCGGATCTCCTCCTCCCCCCCTCCCACTTCCCCGTCCTGCTCTTTTTTTGTTGTTGTACTTGAAACAAACAGAGCAATCGGAGGCTGCTGCAAGGATGCTGCAAACAGAGAAGCGGTGCGACAAGCTCCCTCCCCCTGCCGCCCTGTGATTGGTCTAACGGCTTTAGAATGACGTACGCGGTTGGCTCGCTCGGCTGTCCGTCTGGCTTTGCGGGATGGGAACGGGATTTAATGGCTCTGCACACCAGATGCTGTCAGACTTGTGTGAATGACTGCATCCGGGCAGCAGCTCTGTGGAAATTAACCCTGTGATGTCTTCTCTTCAAGTCCCCATCCCCTTATACTCTGACCAAACAGGACACGGAGGGGGAGAAAGAAAATCACACAGGCATGTGATTGCACACTTCTCTTTTTTACGACTAAAATGATTTAGAAAACAAAGCTTTGTGTGCAATTGCAACACGCTGCACAATAGTTTCTTGAGCTCAATTTTGAATGAGTCCCAAATCATCATCTGGAATCAGGAAACATTTATTGCCAAAATATGTCAAACATACAAGGAATTTGTCTTGGCGGTTGGTGCGTGACAGTAGACACAAAACAGACAATAGACAACAAGACAGCAGTGCACAAGTAATAAAATAAAATACAATGAAATGCTAATGCAATGGGTTAGTAGAATAAGGCTATGGGTTAGTATAAAATAAGAGAATAAAGTTAGTTAAAAATTTGAAGTATTTAAAAAGTTAAAAAATATTTTAAATAAAGTGCACTATCGAACAACTGACAAAGTGACGAGTGACGACAAAGAACGAAGCGCACCGAAGCACCGTGGCAGCCATCATTGGCGCAAGATAGCAAGATATTTTGATTATAAGAAAATGCATTATAATTATGCAACTCACTTATCATCTTGTCATCCAATGTATTTCAATCTAACAAAATATCTTTGCATATACAAAAGTATTTGGACGTTTTTTAATGAAATCATGAATGCGGTCCTCGTCACAAAAACTACAATGAAAAATATAAAGCATTGTGTATTTTGTAATTAAATGTTCTAATAAACAACAGAAGATAGCAGGTAAAATAACTCTGGAGTTAATCTCAATCAGAATTATTTACGAGTGTGAGTGAGTGTGAGCAGACTGGAGTCTGCATGTTCTCCCCGTGTCTGCGTGGGTTCTCTCCGGGTTCTCCGGCTTCCTCCCACAGTCCAAAGACACGCACTGGGGATCAGGTTAATTGTGGACTCTAAAATGCCCGTAGGAGTGTTAATGGTTGTGTGTCTCTGTGTTAGCACTGCGATTGTCTGGCGACCAATCCAAGGTGTACCCCGTCTCTTGCCCGAAGTTGGTTGGAATAGACTCCAACCCCCCCGACCCTGTGTGCAGGATGAGCGGTGTGAAGATGATCAAGCTGATTTGAAGTGAATAAAGAAGCAGATGTACATACATTGTTTTTCAACATAAGTCGATATTGTTCTAGTTTTTATTTTTTTGCCTACAACACATATGAAAGAGAAAAAGATTGTTGGATTCTATGTCTGGTGAAAACAACAACACAGAGATTACAATTATCCGCATCCCAATACTGCATCTCTGAAATAAGCCAGTGGTCACTGGTTACAATGAACAAATTGCATGAATTTGTTGAATGATATTTTGCATTAAATCGAGTCTTCTGTTTTCATATATGTATTTACGAGAACCCACAGATTTTATTAAGAATCTTCTATTTGGATGAAAACGGTATAGGGCTGCTTTTCCTCGACATCAACACGTAATATTTGATAAAAATAGCACTATATACATTTTTTCCTCTTTTCAGGTTGGAGACAGATGGTATAACACGCTTGTTATAAGATAATAAGATCAATAAGAGCAAATTAAGATTAGGGGAAGACTGAAACCAGAACAGAAATGGTGAATTATAAAATGTGTACTCAAGTATGGGTAGCTTTATTTGACTAAAAAGGCAACTTCAAAGATTCGGAAATTTATGCTTTGAAGCCCTTTTTTATATTGTATTTAATATTTTTATATCTTATATTCTTGATATGGAAATGTGATCATATTTTGAGGTAATTGCTTGTGTAGGTGTTTGTGTGTGTGGTGCAAAACAGGATGCACCAACAGTCATTTCATGAATAGACACAAATTACATATAGTGAAACACTGACATCCAGTGATTCACTTTGAGAACTGCACTAAAAAGCTATACTACCAGATAATGTTTTTATAATACAGAATATAGATGTATCTAGATTTACATTTAATTAAAACCCAAATTTGATCACCTGCGAAGAGTGTTGTACACATTATCCCACACATAGGTTAAGGGCCAGGTTATTATTGGAGAGCCACCTTTAGCAGATGAATTACCTCATTGATTTTGGGTAAACTTTAGATATAGTTTCTAATACCTCACTTCCTGGTGCAGCTTAGAATACAAGCATTGCCTAAAGGTTTTAAAGGTGTGTGCGTTGTTTCTTACAATACAACAGTCACCTATGACTATGACCTATGCTCCCAAATATTGAGTTTGACGGCAAGTCTGTCAAACTGGATTACATTGATGTGTAATATATAATATACTTACTATAAAGGGGAAGTGCATATGGTATCAGAGGTGTGTAATACCTTAATATGTCTTATTTCAAACTTAAAGTAGGTAAAAAAAAGGCAAGTAAAATGTAAAGTAGGGGAAAAAAGGCAAGTAAAATGTGAGAATAATACATTTCCATTTTAGGGGTTTATTCATCTGTCCCCTCTTTGTCCATTTGGCTGAGCTCTCGTTTTGTAGGATTTTTCCCCAGTAAACACATCAACCTTTCCATTTCCTGTGTCTTCCCTCTTTATGAAATGTCTCTAACACTCTCTAACCTCATTATTCAGTGACTTGCAGCATTTCATATAACATTTAAGAAGACGTACATTGGAGAACAAATCAGCACAGCGTCTGGATTTACTTCATGTTGTACCGACTCTTGTCTGTGGAGTTGGATCCTTCCTGAGGACCGGACAGGCACTGTGCAAACAGTTACCGAAGAATGATGAAGACGTTTTTGCTTCATCATGGCTACAGTTATATGCTCTTTCCCCAGAGGTTAACGGGGCACGCTTTATGGCCTTTTATGGATGAAGTTGCTCATCACCATGAGGAATATTTGATTACTCAAGTAACAAAAAGGTAATCTGCTTTATAACAATATTGGAAGATAAATGGTTTAATAAACGTGTATTAGTTTAAGAATAATGCCGTACCCAGGCAGGAATAATATCTAGAAGATAATGAAATATGAAAAATGTGCATTTTCTGACCTCAACATCACATGATGTACTTTTGGGAACTGCACCAGCTTGCTGTTAGCTATTGTCAGGTGTTAATTCAACTTAACACTATACATATAATAACGTATTGTTGTGTCCACTCTTTCTGTAATTAGCTTTCGAATGGAATGAAAGTATCATTGTACATTGCTAAAATGTATCAACGGTAAATATATGACTTCCGATCGTTTGGTGATATTTCAGGTGAATGGATGTTTACATCACTACAAAATGAATGAATATATATATACACAATATATATATATATATACACAATATATATATATATATATATATATATAAAATAAATTCATACAAGAGGTAAATCCACATCACGCATGTTACACCATTCAGGACAGCTTGGACTCAAAGATCATATATGATATATATATATATATATATATATATATATATATATATATATATATATATATATATATATATATATATATATACACAATATATATATATATTCTTTCTTTTTGTATGAATCATTTTCTTTTTCACTCATATATATATATATATATATATATATATATATATACATATATATATATATATATATACACTCATTTTGAGTGACACATTTTCACACATATATATATATATATATATATATATACATATATATATATATATATATATATACATATATATATATATATACATATATATATATATATATATATATATATATATATATATACATATATATATATATATATATATATATATATATATATATATGTTTATATATATATATATATATATATATAGCTCGATATACATATCTGTATATATATATATCTGTGAGCGAAGTTTGCGGTCCGAACAAGCCGACTCAGCCAACCAACAAACGCGACCCTCTTCGTTCCACAGACCCACCATCCTGACGGGGTACTCTACCGAAGTGACCCACGAGTGTCCCCGCCGTGGGTTGAACACCCCTCGAACGTGCTCTACCCGGCGCTGCTGCAGCGTGGGGTTTCCCGGCGCCGACTGCAGGGTTTACCGCGCCCACCTCCGCCTCCACATCTCGGCGGCTCGACGGCCGGACGGGAGCGTGACGACGCAAGGCTGCTCCTCGGGAAGGAAAAGGAAACAACCTTTACCGCTGGTCGGCTCGCTAGCGAGCGAGCTGCCGCTGCGCTGTCCGTCGATGCGCGGATCGGAGGGTTACACCGTCTCCGCTTTCCCCGTCAATGGCGACACGCAAAAGAACCAAACGCAAATTGAACCTGGTAATGTGAAACGATGCTGCTTCTCTCGCTCCAACACTGCGGTCCACTCGGCAGACACTCGAGTTTTAGTGCACGTGTATGCTGACATTTACGGTATTGATATACATAGAATGCACGCTATTTAATCAAAGATTCTGTGTAGTATGTGTGTGTTCAGGACCATTCACAAAAACTATTTTTGTACAAAAAAAGGAATACATTTACTGTACAAAGTTCAAAGGGACCAGTTTCTCAAAGTTTCAACTGCAATAAAAAGTTTTTTTTCTCAATAATTCTGTTGGGGTTTTAAGTAGAAGTGAATGTTTAGTGATAGAATTGTAGTTTGTGTGATGTTAGATTAGTTATTACATTAACATGTTAGATGAAGTGAATACAATGTGAATCAAACACAGTTTATAGTCTTTTAAAACGTAGAAACACACTACACATTTACATTCTGTTACAATGTGATGTTAAAACCTGGGAACGGATGCCAATTGCCGTTCTTTATGGATTTCTCCCAATTTTCTCCCCAAAAAGGGTTTTTTGGGAGTTTTTTCTCCTGTCAGGTAATAAAATGAACAACTTATTGCAAGGCAGCCGACTGAGGCAAATGTCTTGCGAATTGAACCACATGAACTGTTTTAGATCTTATGATGAAGTGTGATGAACGGTGATCATTAATGATGGGTTGTTGTAATTAAAGTGTACTAGTTATAAGATGAAGACTTAAACGATGTATGCTTTGTTGGGTTCACTCAGTGAGGCA